TTAGCCATGGGACCCGGCCGGCCAGCTAATAGCTTAGCCATGGGACCTGGCCGGCCAGCTAATAGCTTAGGCAGGGGATCTGGCAGGCCAGGCGGCAGTTCAGGATCTGTGCATTCTGGAAATAGTCAAAGCATAGGACCTGGACGGCCCACTAGCAGCCTAAACACTGGACTGGGAAGAGGGAGCAGCTCAGGATCCGGACCAGGCCGGCCTGGAAACACTTCTGTTGGAACTCCTAAACCAAAGTGCACTGTTGTATCAGAAACAATCTCATCTAAAAATCTGGTCCCAAGACAAATGAATGGAATGAGGCCACTTCCTCAGCAAAGACCTGGGATTCACCCACAAGGTATTAAAAGTCTTTTTTACCCAGCATGTTGCTACCTATTTCTTGTTTGATTCATACTTTTGTTTTTCATTGAAACTTTTTGGAGTTTTATTCTCAAGTGGACTGCTAAATAGTTATATTCTCAACTGCACGTGTTTTCATTTTTTTCAGTCCAGTGCATTCTTACTTTGCTGTAAGTTCCCCTGATTTGAGTGAGTCTTAGCCAAGAAAATGTGTGTAGGTTTTATTTATTAATTTATTTAAACCATTTGTATGCTGTCCAATTGTGCCACAGCACCTCTGGGCGGCTCACAGAGATTTAGTTCTTCCAAGACAGGAACAAAGCATGTGTTGTAACTACTTTGCAGTGTAAATGTGACTGGCTTTCATGAACCTAGATATGGTACAAATAAGACTGGCCTTATTTGTACTAAGTGCCATGCACTTAACCAGTGTTTGCAGGGGCTGCAAGCACCATCTGAACATCCTTCACCTCTGCTGCTTATTCCCCATGCAGGGAACAAAAAGCTGGAATAAAGCCAGGCAATGTACTTAGCTACTTGTTCCAGAAGTTCCTTCATGTGCTAATGTGCTTCACATGCCCTTTTCCATGTGGGGAAGGCAAGAGACAAGTGAAACTGCCCACAAACCTGCTAGTGCCATCTAAGCGAGCTGTGCCTTCTGCTAGCAGGAACGAAGTTGGGCTGACTATTAAATCAATTGTACTTCACTCATCCTTCTTTCTGCAAGGAAAGTGGAAGATGAACCAGATCAGCTCCATGACCAAAGCATTGACCAGAAGGGCTTCAGCTGAGGACTCAATTACATCAGGATGCCAGATAGCAGTCTAACTTCCAGAGCCTTTGTGGTTCCCCATCCCTCATGTAAAGTGTAGGAATTGCTTCAGTTAGGAAAAAAAGGAGCTATAAGTTCTCTTGGAGCAATCCTGTGCCTGCAAGGCCAGGACAAACAGAACTTTGCAGAGGTCAGCAAGGACGTGATACATCTTTCCATCTAAATTGACTCATCGCTGCTCTACTGCCTGTGCATTTTCCCAAGACAAAGAAATGCTCAATCATCCTGGAGAGGTAGAAGATGCTGGGCCATTATAGGTACACACAAAATGCCCCCCACTAGATATCTTTTACATGTCTGGCATTGCATTGCTTTCCCAGATCTGGGGAAGACACGTCAAGTTATGCCACCTGTATTTGTGATATTATTATTAGAGTAATTTTTTTCCTCTCGCAAGGAACCCAAGGCAGTTTGCATGGCTCTGTTCCACTCAAATTTTATCCTTAAAGCAACTCCTCTGTGAGATTGGTCAGGCTGAGAGGCAGTGATTGGCCCAGTCTCGTAGCTTCATTGCTGAGTGGGGACAAGAACCTGGATCTACCAATCCAGCACTGATTACCACACCACTCCAGTTCTCAGTGATGTGATGAATACATTTTCTGATCATTCTCAGATATGTACATTTAACATTTGTGATGCTTACAAATTGTTTGTGTTATACACCTTGCTAGTCATGTGTTACTACATTTGTCCACAATTATGATAGTGTTGCTGCACTGCTGTTTTTGACAGGAATGTTTCTTCTTGCCAAGGTGTTTATAATGACCAGCTAATTCATTACTTAAATGCTTAGCTGGAAAAAATTAACTGATATAAAATCTTATAACAGTGAAAGCTAATGACAAATAACCAATGCAAGATCTTAGTTACAGCTGACTTGTGAATATAGTTTTACTTCTAAATCTTCCCCCTTTTAGGTTTTCCAAGGCCTTCTCTTCCACCTATTACCTATAAAAGACACTATGAAGATGATGATGATTATGATTCTGAAATGGAAGACTTCATTGAAGATGAAGGAGAGCCTCAAGAAGAAATCTCTAAACATATTAAAGAAATATTTGGTTATGATCGGAATAGGTGAGAAAATGAGCTGAAACATAATTTTCCATTGGGTACTTACACCCATCTATAGCATATATGTAAATTGCAGAGAGACTTAAGTGAAAAGTGATTTTTAAGAGGAACAAAGTATAGGTTATTTTATCTTACAATAATTATATAATTCTTCCTGCATGACCATCCTTTAAATTAATTGGGATTTCACAGGCAAATAGATATGGAAAAATTGTATCCACTTTATTTAACCATAAAATATACTAAATAGTTTAGATTTTGCTATGTGGCAGCCTGTAATGTATAATTAGCCATAGTGGGCTATGTCCCACTGGGCTATTTCCTATTAGATGTCTTATTTCTGGGCAACCAGATACTTCCCTGCCCAACCCATGAATCCAAGCCTAACAACCAACCCCATCTTGTCATTTGACAGGGTAATGGAGGGTTTTTTTTAAACAGGGTAATATGGCCGTATGTGTTGCTATCAAGAAATGTCCATTGTCTTGTCAAAACCTCCATTTTGGGGGGAAAGCATTGTTTTAACAGCTATCAAAAATCAAGTGTGTTTCACTTGCTGGAATCCTGCAGAAAAGTTCAAAATGTGCGTCTCCCTAAGAACTGTCAAGGCACTAGACATACATAGATAGATCTTACCATAATATAAGTGTAAGTGGAACCACTCACTTGTCATGAATAAGTGTTTTTTGCACCATTACTTTCCATTGACTGTTAGCCTTCTGACAGTTGTCAAGACAACCCATAAGAAAAGATACACACACACAATATATATATATATATATATATATATATATATATATATATATATATTTTGGAGCAAAGCCCATGTTTAATAACTGCTCTGCCTGGCAAGACATTCACCCAGTAGAGACTTCATTGCTTGAACAACCACAAACCTCTGCAGTTGTGGAAGTGTGGCTGATTTTTTAACAGAATGAACCTGTCTGTGCACATCATGTGCAATTTCTTTTTAAGAAATAGTGTAGTAGCCTGTGTCGCTTCTTGGGCATTTTGAAAGGGCTGTCAGTGGCTATTGAAACAGAATCACATTCTCAGGAAAAAGGAGAGGGGAGGGGTGCCATGTGCCCAAAATGGCTTGGGATTGCAGAGGGCAGGCAAGCTGGCCATGTTGAGATACCTGCTGGGATACATGGAGGGAGTAAGCATAACCCACAGAGAGTCTGAATGTTTGTCAGTCACACTGTGGTTTACTGGCAGAATAGCCAGCTCATAATGGATTATTGCCAGGATGGGTTGGTTTGACATGTGAACATGCCCTGCATAGACAACATACACATCTGCTTCCATTTGTCAGAATGTGATTAGTGAGACAAAAATCATTCCTTCCCTAAGTGAATTAAACTGGTTTGGTCCAGCCCTGTAATTATAAGATTACTTGAAATAGCTATACAGTTGTGAAGCTGAAAAACATGCTGAGTGTATTGATTTTCATTTTGCTATTCCAGATATAAAGATGAAAGTGATTATGCCTTACGTTACATGGAAAGCAGCTGGAAAGAGCAACAGAAAGAGGAAGCCAGAAGGTACGTGTTAAATTTACTATTTCAATTTTTTAGTTCTTGATCAAAAGAGAAATGCTTCAGGCATTGTGATTCTAAATACTTATCCAATCATAGTTCATCACCACTTCCCATATCCTTTTGAATTTACTTCATTATTTATGCAGCATTACTATAACGTCTTAAAGCTGTAGCAGCAACTTTGTGAGATGCTTCATTATTGTTTCTTTTACACATGAATAACAAATAATTTTTCTGGGGCAGGGCTAGTTTTGGGTCCTTAATCTTCAGTTTGAGGTCATATGCAAAAATAATGTGAATATAAAGTAGCGACACAGATACATAGAGTGCTTTAATTCACTTACCATATTTGCCATAATTGGATTTGTAGCAGGAGGACTTGAAATAATATATTCCTATATAGGTCATTTCAAAAGTAGGATGCATTGAATTCAATTAGGCTTGTTCCCAGGTAAGTAGGATCAAAATAATCTAAGTCAGCTAGATTATCTCTCTCATATACTCAGCTAAGTAGAAGTTTCCATTCAGCTGATTTCTAAATCTTCACTTACTTCTTTTCTTACTGTCAAGAAAGATAACATTCAAGCATTTGGAGAGGCTTAACTTGTAGTATCCTATCTAAAATGTATTTAAGGAAAGTAAAAAAGAATTCAACACACTTGCAAAAACAATATCACCTTCCTTCTCTTTAATTTCTTCAGAAGTCATGTAAGATTTTTCTTACCATTATAAAACTGGTTTGGTGGCTGGTAATAGAGTAGGATTACAGCCTAGCCAATCCCAAAGGAGCTATAGATTCCTTGAATATCTCACAGTGTCACTTGTAATCCTTTGGTATGTAAGCGCAAAGCAAGGATATTAGGCCCATGTTATGCTACCCTATTCCTTATGAAGGAAATGCCTTCTGGTAGCAGCTTCACAGTCTAGTCTTGAATTAATGAACTATGTCTAATCATTTTAAAGAAAATGGCCACCTTGAATACTTAGGGGTTGAATAAAGTCTGTATAGGTAAGAAAATTATATTTTAGAAATGTTGTTAATGGTGTCATGCTCCCATGAGTATTTGCAGTGGAGCCCAAATTAATCTTCAGGTGCAATATATAAGAAGTCTGATGTGTATCACTGTGCAAAACTGAATCTTTGACATTTGCTAAGATCCCTGTTTGATATAAGGGCAAAATTGATGTACATCTTTCTTCAAAACTCAGGTATCTTGATTTAAACTTAAGAACTCTAAATTGTTTGTGCTCTGGAATTAACTATCACTTTCTTTCTGATTGTGATACCTATTATCAAAAAGGAATTATCCATGTTGATCACTGAGTGAGTTGCATGTGTGAACCAGTTGCTGCTGATCAAATACCATGAACAGCCCTTTTAATACCTTGTGATCAGTACTTGCAGTGGCTGTATTTTATTCATTTGCACTGCAGAGAAAGAGAGCAGTGTATATGTATGAATATAGTTGTACTTAAGATGTACTGAGTTTACGCCAAATATGTAAATGTAACAAGCATAAGGAAACAATTTAAATGCATTGTATAGGCACACTCATTTAGGCAACCCTAACCATGGAACTAGTTTCAGTAATGAAAGCAGAGACTGAACTTGCTTGTCTTCAGCAGTAACTCTGCATTCTGCATAGCAAGCTGCTTTTTCAAACTGAGGGGAGCTTGTGATATGGCATGGTATTAACAGTTTTAAAAGTGTAAAAAAAATACTGGACTAGTTATGAAATCTCTTTTATGAGCCAAACATGGTTCTTTGGACCCTTGCAGTGATGTTTTTAAAAGTTTCAACAATCTTTGAAAGCACTGTGAATCTTCCTAGATTTACTAAAATGCAGAGTCCTGTAGCATCTTAAAGACTAACACGTTTATTATGTCACAAACTTGTAAACTAGAATTCACTTCATATGCATGAAATTGTCCTCAGTTGGCAGATACACATACACAATGTCAGATTTGTGCCCATTCTATGTAGAGTAGCATTCCCCAACCTGGAGCCTTTCAGATGTTTAAGATTACAAAGGTATCATCATTGGCCTTGCTACCTGGTCCTGCTAGAAGCTACAGTCCAAAACATCTGAGGGATGCCAAGTTGATAAAGGCTAGTGAAGAAACCTTTTCATAAAAAGAAAGAAATTGTTGGCGTGCTGGAAGATAAGCAATGCACACAGCATTTCTCAAAAGTGGTCAGTTGAGAAGGGCAGATGAGAAGAGTGGCTAGCTGGGTCCCACAGTAGCACCTGACCCAGTTTTCCTGCTCTGGAGCATGTAAAGCTGGCAGAGGATGAGTTTTCCAGTTTGACTCTGCGTGTCCAGGGCTCTCCAAGCATCTTCGCCCCACACTGACAAAGAACCACTGGCCTTCCTCCCAGTTTTGAAGCTGGAAATGCGGGGCAGTCATTGCAAGAAGGATCTCTGCCCACCTCTGCAGTGGGAGATTCAACAGCAGTCTCCCTGCTTGCTGTGCTTGCCAGAGAGAGGTGCAACATCGTCCATGATGCTCATTGTAAGCAGGATTGTTGACGCCTGTGTATAGCAGTTTGTCAAATATAACTTCCGTGTGTATGTTTTCATCTCCAGTATTTAGGTTAACTGTAGGTTGCTTAGCAAATCTAGAAGTGTGTCACATTCTTTGAGGAGAAAATGCCACTCCCATGGGTTATGGAGATGTGGTGTGTTGCCAGTATGGAAGGAATTGAAAATCATAACACAACAAACAAACATTGAGGAGCTTGGTCTTAATCTCAGGAAGGCACCCAAGCCTCTGTGGGACAGACAGGGAACCTCTGCAAGCCAGGGTTAACCCATTCCTGTGATATGGAAAGCATCCTTTTTATCATACTGCTCCCAGATAGCTGAATTCCTGTATATTCCAGTGCTGTTCCTTTCAGGGCAATGGGCAAGCGGAGGGGAATGATGTCAGCTTTGATTTCATTTTGGGATTTTTTTCTGCACCTATGTTTCTGTTTTTAAATTTCTTTGTATTTTACTGTGATTCAATCTTTATTTTGCAGCTTGAAACTTGGATTGCAGGAAGATCTAGAAGAGATGCGACGTGAAGAAGAGGAATTAAAACGCAAGAAACAGGCAAAGAAACTGAGAACGCGTTAATTAGTTTGCCGTAGCTCTGGTTTTCTGTTACCCTTCCTGCCCATCTTCTTATTCCTCTCCTTGTTCCAAATTTAGTTTTACTTCATGGAAAAAAGTGTAAGAAACTGTGTAGAAGATGGAAATTAGAAATACGAGTTTGCTGCAAACTTGTGCTCAGGAGGATTCTGCAGGTGCTTGAAGAAGGTCTCATGGCACTTTTTTGCACTTCCTGTCCTCCACTTCTCAAGCTGCTCTGGAGGTTTGGGAGGCTCTCTAGGACAGTATGGAAAGTGGCTTCAAGGGAGAAGGGACATCAGAGAAAACGGCCACCCAGCCCTTCCTCCAATAAGAAATCTTAATTGGATTCCAGTTCTCTCCATGAATGGAATGAACTTTTCCATTCATGAAGGGGCAAGTTTGGATCAAGCCCATGATTCTTTAGTTTGACCCTGAAATACTTATTTTAATACCTGCAATGGATTCTTTGTTTTTAAAATGCACTAATGGAGAATATTAGATAAATAATGGAAATGAATGTTACTACTGCCGAAAGTAGTTCAAGGATGCCGGTAGACTACTGACTGACTATGCACTGGCTTGCAACAAGTGGGCCCACACACCAGTATGCTAGGCTGCGTTCTTCATTTTACTTAAATACTGAAGAATGTTCACGTTCTCTTATTTAAAACACAATTGTGTCCCAAGCCAAGATGGATAGGTCACCTTGTCTGTTCAGAGAAAGCACAGATTTAAAATTTAGCTGCTGCTAATGATGTTGAAAGCAATATTAACCTGCACTGTGATTCCTGTTTGGAGAAGATTATCTGAAAAACTCACATTATGGTAAAAAAAAATCATGAGTTCTGACTTCACAATTTAGTAGACTGATACTATGTCTTGGAAGCAGATGTTGTAGAAGAAGCAGGCAGCAGCTCCAGGATGAGGAGAAGAATGTGGTAGCAATGGCATCATACCTGCCAGTATAAATCCCTAAATTCCCTCCTCCTGCCACCTTGCTAACTTGTTAGTTGTACAGGATTCAGTACTTCTGGGACTTTAGTAATCCCTGTCTAGTCACGTTGAACTGAAGTCTCACTTGAACTGGCACAGACTATCCACTGCCTGATACTTTACTCTCCTGTTGTACAGAAGACTGAGTTAGGCTATTAATGTCACTCAGAATTTGTTCAATAAAAATGGGACCAAATGGTAAGTCTTAGGGCTGAAATTTCATTGCCAAAAATAATAAAAATGTATCCTGAAAAATACAAACTTGCAATGCTTTGTATATCGTTTCTATGACTTTGGTGTGACTGCATTTTAGAAATATCTTTTCATATATCCCAAATTTTTTTCAGCTTCCTCTTTTAAATTAAGTGCATATTGTCTAATAATTCCAAAGCATGCCAGGATATATTGCATCTAATACTGGATTTTGTCTAGCATATGTGCTGAATTAATCTATGTTCTGCTGATTATGGGCATCTTTTTAGTTGTTCTGAATAATTGCTTATAAAGCAACTGAATAGACCTTCAGCAGAGAAATAAACCTTTAGAATTTGTCAAGATGTCATTTTTGTCTGTTTCTGAAACTTTGATTCAACACTGATTTCAAGCTATGCACTGCGAAAGAAACCAAGTTGCCAATCTTAAAGGTATGCATATTGAAAGAGGTACCAATTCATTATTTTCTACAGAATTGTGCTCTGAAATTTCAGCCCCATGTTCCATGTTATTTATTCCTCAAGTACTCATGATATGCACTCACAGGAAAAAAGATGACCCTTCCCGAAAACTTCATCAAGCCCCTACTGTGAAAAGCTTCGTTATCGCTGAAAGTTAAAAGTAGAAGGTAGGGCAGAATAGCAGTTGTTCAGTATTCTAGCAGAGAATGACTAAGATTTTAAGAAGCATTTTGTAGGGATACAATCCTAGTAAGTATCAAGAAGGAGGAATCAGCCTTTGAATGTATACATCCACATGGGGGTTCAATTAACAGAGTCATTGTAAAGAGAACAGGGGAGATCTCTGCTCACACAGTTCAGTGAGGTGTGCTGTTGCCCAGATGAAACAGCTGGGCAGTTGCTGCAGATAGCACGCTGCTTGCTTCTGCACTTCCAGTTTCCTATGATCAGTAGTGCTACTTCTTCCAGCACTGTGCTTCATGTTCCACAGACTCTTTTACCTTGCTATGATTGCTATATATACACATGTGTGTATATAGTCCTCCAGATCCACCCATTTATCTTACTCATCCAAAACAATGACTGTTGCAAACATGACCAAGTGACTGTTCATTTTTTAATTGTAGTGTGGAAGACTATTTAGATAATAAACTCAGATTCTGTCTTCTGCAAGCCTTGGACGTAGTAAAGAATTTGTAATAGAAGAATTATGTACAGCAGTTAATGCATGTATTAACTGCTCTTGCAAGATTAATTCAAAAGTGTATCTTGAAACAAACACCTCAGCATTACTTGTCTTACAGGAGACAACTGGAAAATCTATATTGTCACTTTCATCACCTCCTCCTTTTTAATAAATTTGTCATATGTCACTTCCTAAAATTTATGTTTCATATAACTTGCCTTGAACTTTCTTGCATTCCAAAGGGAGTCTCCTGTAATTGTATTCTCTTTTCAGATTGTGTGCTGTTTAACATACTTATTTACTTTTTCTTTAGGGATTTTTCTTTGCTTTATTTTTCTTATTCACCTTGTACAAAGTAAATTTGGCCATTGTTTCTTCCAAATTATATTAAAGCGAAGTGGAAAAGTTGGTTTATATATCTATGGCTATCCAGCACTGTTTGGGCTTCATATATTGTATGAGCAAATACTCTAGCTTGGTTTGCAGAGTCTGTTAAGTGATTGGAAGATGTGCCTTTTTTAACATATTAAAACTTTCCATGAATGTAGGAATAAGATAAAGAATTGATGTTGGTATCAAAGATGCTATATTGAAATTAATGTGAAATAATGCAGTTTTTCGTAAAGGCCTTCCAGGTCTTGTTTTGCACAACTACAGTAGTTAGCATTTATGGATATTACTGAGTAAAATATAAGGACACTTTGTATTTAGACTTGATTTTACAGTTGCCTTCTACATACTTTATTAAGGCTGTACTTTACTTTTACAGCACTGTCAGAAGCCAGGGCAGCATGTATAATGTAAAGCATTTATGAATCATTCAGATCTGTTTTTTCAAGCAGAACTCTGTAAAAATGTATTAAAACTTATTTTTATACAAGCCCCTCTTTTTATCTAACATAATTAGTTTTTCTTTGGTTTATGCTTTCTATAACCTTAATTACCCTTGTAGCAAAACGTATTTTTACATATATAGCAGGAGACCAAAACACACTGGAAAGAAAATACAGTCTTGAAGAGACTAGTGAATAAATTGTGATGACTATGTTGAATTTCTATTTATTTTGTTGAGTCGGAGTGATACAATCAAGTGTTAGCATATAATTGAGGATGCTTCTGGAGTCCATGTTGTTTTTGTGAAGTTCATTGTGTTTAACACAATGTGACAAATCAGGTAAAAACTGTTACCCATAACTGTTTTTTCTGGTGCTGTTGAAGTGTATGCTTTTGCACATTGAGAGTGCAGACTGAAGCACGTTATGTATATAATAAATACAGACATTAAACATTTTATTGAATTTTTCAGTGGTTTGCATTAATTCGTAGGACATATTAAAATGTTGTAGTGTGCCTCCTTGCAGAGTTTTCCTAGAATTTTTTCCTCTGAGGAAATATGACTGAAATTTCACTCTGCTAATAAGTGACTGAGAAACTATATAGAAGGTAGAATTGGATGTTTTATTACATATTTTTATTTCAGGAATATCAAAATAGCTGGAACATGAAATAAATCCAATAAGAACATTTTATTCGGTTGGCTAGGACTTTATATTCATTCATTATATAAAATTCTATAACTTATTCCTGCAAAGAATAATTAATAGCTGGAAAATGAAATACCCAGTGAAATGTAACACTGTAGAAATCTCCTCCCGCCCCCTGCAAAAAAAAAAAAAAATACTAGAATCAAAGCCCCATGACATGAAGAGATGACTGTATAGTGAATGGTAATCTGTAATAGCTTCCTTGAACCCCTATGGGAGCTAAAGAATCTTACATTTCAAACTGCTACCTCTGAATTATCCTTGCTTGCATAAATGCACTGCACCTGCAATAGCCCAATAAGGGCAGCAGGTAATGTTGGGCTAACGCCTTCAGTGGTAGCAGTGTTCAGCTATCAGTCCAACTAAGATACTAGGCAACTGTGTGAAATTCATTCTGTGGGCAGAAAGGAACTTTAGGTGGGGTGGGGGTGTTTAATAGCATCCCAAGCCCACCACATTGTCACCTGCTTGTACAACTGGGGGAGCTGACTTGTGCATCAGCATAGCATGGGATTACTTTAGTCCAAACCAACGATTTGATGGACTTGCACAAGCCACTCTACATGATCCTCATCAGCTGTTTGGGTCCTGACCCTTGTGTCTGGTGCTTGTATTTAGCTGTTGTGCTATTTACATCTCTAGTTCAGTACACCAAGGAGTAAAGGAAGCACGTTTTCAGGATCTTCTGAATGTTTGTCAATGGCAGAATGGATTAAGTGTGAGGTAAGCAGAATGAGAGAGTGCTGTTTTGCACACTTTTCAGTGTATCTCAGCACATTGTTGGAATGTGAGAAAACTAACTTGCTCAGGAGATCTGGGTTCTAGTTGCCCACTGGGTGACTTTGCGCCAGTCACTGCCTCTCAGCCTAAACTTACAGGGTGGTTGTTGTGAAGATAAAATGGAAAGGAGAAGAACCTTGTGAGTGATCTAGAATTACTTGCAAAAAGAAAAAAAATCTGGGCTATAATGGACTGTAGTGATAATTTTCGGAGGGGGGCAACAGTTGAAATTTCCATCAATATTACAACAAAAAAGAATGGTTCCGAATAGTTATAAAACACATTCCACACCATTCTTTGTGTTGGGAAATTACAGAAGGGAGTGCAAACTTTCCTATTAAAATTGTAGCCTTGGATCCAAAGGTTCTTTTATGAGACCAAAGCACTTTCATTTACTTATCAATTCTACCATCAAATAGCTTGCAGCATCAGCACTCCATGTCATTCAGTGGACGGAGGTTTTTTCAAAAATCAGCAACAGTTTTTGGCAAAGTTGCAATGGGGAGGAAAGGGGTGGAAAAGTTGCTGTACAATGGAGTTCTGATTGTGCCTCTTGGGATGTAAGCCATACATTATGGGTGGGCAACCTTTGTCGGGAGCTGCATTCTCTTGGGGGTAATCTATCAGTGGCTACTTGGCAGTGTGTAGGGCTAAAACTGGCAATGGGCAGAGTCAGAGGGAAAAGTAGGTGAGTTAACTTCAGAGTTCTCCTAAACTGGGCTGAGGGTTTCCCACCACTACCATGAAAAAGCCTTTACCTAGTAGCTAGCCTATCCTTTGTGTATGACAAACAAAGAATTCTTGTCCCAATTTTTGGAACTATGCAAAGGGTTGTTTTCCATAATATGTAATGGATTATTTGCATCCCAACATGTGACAGGGAGTTGCATGGTGCCTGATGCTTGGAGGTGAGATGAGGGAGAGGAATAAAACAGTGATGATGTGTAAATACACGCTCCAAAAGGATTTTGCTAGTGTAAAAATGTGTGTAGAAGGACCTTGAGTTTTCATATCAAATGAAGGTTCTATAAATTAATAAAATGCATAAAACTATTATATGCAAGCAATATAACTGCACCTAAAATAAGTGTACTATGTGCAACATAGCGCTCTGCTTGATTTACAGGCCTGACAGAAAAGCCTACACTACTTTCCTAAAAATCTCTGTAGGCTCAGCTTGGTGGGTTTGGCTTTGTTGCTAGTTGCAAAGTCATGTCCAACCCATCGCAACCCCATGGACAACATTCCTCCAGGCCTTCCTGTCCTCCACCATCCCCTGGAGTCCACTCAAGCTCACACCAACTGCTTCAGGGACTCCATCTAGCCACCTCATCCTCTGCCATCCCCTTCTTCTTTTGCCATCTATTGTTCCCAGCATTAGGCTCTTGTCCAGGGAGTCCTTCCTTCTCATTAGGTGGCCAAAGTATTTGAGTGTCATCTTCAGTATCTGGCCTTCTAAAGAGCAGTCGGGGTTGATCTCCTCTAGGACTGACTGGTTTGATCGTCTTGTGGTCCAAGGGACTCGCAGGAGTTTCCTCCAGCACCACAATTCAAAGGCCTCAATCCTTTGGCACTCAGCCTTCCTTGTGGTCCAACTTTCACAGCCATACATTGCAAGGGTTTGGCTAGGAGATCCCAAGTAATCTCCATTAGCTTATCCTGCAATGGAGGAGAGACATAGACATGAAGCACTCCAACTCCAAGGCCTTGCTTCACTTGGTGCTCTCCAGATGTGTTTAACATCAACCCATCAGCACCAGCCAGCAGGGCCAATGGTTAGGAGTGCTGGGAGTTGCATTCCAAAACAGCTGGACAGAGCCAGTATGAAGAAGCCCACCTTAGCAAGTGGGCTAAGTTTCATACAAGATAGCTGTTTAGGATCTTATGGATGCAATTCTATGCATATTTGGGCAGGGGAAAAGCCCTGCAACTCCAAGTGTGTCCCAGCATGGCTGGCTGGGAAATGCTGGGTGTTTTTTTCTGTCTAAATATGTGTAGGATGGCACCCTGAACATGAAAACTCAGGACCTTAATTGTGCTTGTCATGTAGTTGGCAAGCCAGCAGAGCAGCTTTTCAGCAGTGAGGTAATAGGCTCTCTATGGCTGACATCAATCAAAACCAGGCAAACATGCTTTGCACCAGGTGTGGTTTCCAAGCAGTTTTCAATAGCAGGTCCAATTAGTATGTTGCCATAATTATGCTATGTTAGTACCAAGGGATGTATGACAGAAGACTATGATTGAAATATTTTTTACTGTGCATATAAAAACATACAAAGGGCTGCTTTGTAAATTAAAGAGCAAAAACAAAAAAGACTGGTAAAATTATTCCACAATGTGTTTCTAAAAAATACTCCGTTAAAAATAGCTGTGAGCAGACTTTTTATCACTTATGGAGGATAGTCTGTATTCATGTCTGTGCAGATTTATTGCCTGGATGAGACGGGCATTAACAGTGTGATGTAATTACTGTGTACGAAGATGATCTTGCAGTGATTACACTGTAGCCTGTAGTTTTGTTCAAACAGCCCAGTGAGATGTGTCAAGATTGCAGCGTGAATGCATGAGTCAGAGAAATTTTGGATTTCCTGGAATTCAAGGGGGGTTTTCTTTAATAGATCCCCAGTTCTCGGATTAACATGCACAGGGGCAGGCACTGAAAAGACGTACCCTTCACTCCACTGTACACCCACAAATAGAGCAAGTTGCTATTTGTCATCTCTGTAATTCCAAATACGGCTTCTCCACCCGGATGGAATTTAATTCAGGAAATTCTAAAATGGCCTTCCCCAGTCGGGTCCAATTTGTGTTGACTATAATCCACACCATTCCTAGCCAGATTACCCACTGGTCAAACTTGCTGGGAGCAATGGGAATTGTAGTCCAAAATCAAGAGAACAGTGAGAGCCATTTCAAAGCAAAGGGAGAGTTTGGGTAGGCACCCTTGCTCACACCTTCTGATTGCATTCCTGGGGGTCTTGGCTCCTTCTTTCCCACTCAGTTTTTTTGTGACTGCCACGCTGGGAGTATCCAGAAATGCTCTTGGCTAGAGTAAAAATAAGCAAAAGTATCTTGGTCTTGATTGTTTTTTCTATTCACATTTTCCTTCTGTTTTGCAATTTTTTGTTTCATCTAGGAGTTTCTTTCATTTCAGCATCTTTAGCATGTGGGATTGTGAGGCAAATTTGTGGACCCTTAACCCTCAAGGTTACCTTTTCCCCATAAGTCACACCTTTTCCAATAGGATGTTGCTTCTTTTAGAAAGAGAAGACAGGTTCATTCTCTTTTTAGGCAGACATGTACCTGATAGATTCATGCTCTTGTTATGATCCCTTCATAAGACCCCTCTCTAGTTCCCTGGTATTCTACTTAAAAGAGTTTGGTTTGATTGTTCCTGGGCTGAATAATATATGATCAAGTGTTAGTTTTAAAACAAAAACCATTTTCATTGTCACTTTTGCTTCCATTTGCACATTAGTTTCAAGATGGAAATGTTTGAATCTTGATGATTTTTTTTTAAAAAAACTCAAATTTGTTCTGACCCTATGGCCACCCAGACATTGTCAAGGGGGTCATAGGATAGTTTGGATTTCTAGACAGTGCTCCAACCTCTGAACTAGGAATTGGGAATTCCAGTTCTCCTCCCTTTCCCTCTTGCAGCTGGTATAAAAAGAACTGCACCAGTCACTCTCTGAGGCCACAAGTGCTACCTTGGAAAAGGGAACAGGGCTGGAGGTGGCGGGGGGGGGGTGATTCGAGGAGGCAGAGAGGAAAAGACACAAGATGGCCAGGAGATGAGGTAACCTGTAGCTGGCAGCATCCTTCCCTCCCCTTCTGAAATGCTGTCCTTATATAGCTGGAAATGGTTCATCCAGGGAAAATGCAGAGGGGAAAGAGCAAGGAGGTAAGGATTGTCTCCACTGCTTCTCTCTTGCTTTCTTTGCTTTGGATGAGCAAGAGCTCCCTTAACATGCAAGCCTATGGAGAGGTCCATAACCCTCTGCACTCAAGAGGATTACAGCCCTCTGACATGGGGCAGGAGGACCATGTTGCCTCTGTGCTGCACCCACCCCACAAAGCAGCCAGATGGGTGATTATGGCTTTCTAACTGCAGCACTTCAGAGGGGAGGAAAGGAGGCAAACCTCAGTGGCATCAGCCTCATCCCCTTTCTATCACTTGGAATGCCCCTAAACTCTTTTCCTTTTGCAGCCTTGTAGAAATGGCTAACATGATGCTTTCCATGCCAGCTGCAGAGGGGAGGAAACTGGAGGACATTCTGGGTGTAGAGTCCCAGCATCAACATCAGAGATGGGCCTCCAGAAAATCCTGTAGATCCTTAGATGCTATATAAGAGCCATAATATTGTTCTACTCATTGCTTTTTTGGAAATGGGACTTTCAGTGTTGCTGTTTTGTTTTTTTAATTTACAAAAATGGTTGTTAAAAATGGTTCTTTTAAAAAACAGGTTCTATTACCTTCATGCTAAAGAGATATATTTCATTCTTATGCTCACAACAGCCTGTTAGTTAGGATAGGTTGTGGAAGATGAAGAGATTACTTCTGTGATATAGGACTCCTTAGAAAAATGTACAAGCTTTTGCAATTAGGATTTTATAGTCACCTTCCCCACCCTCCACCCATTCCTTTGAGGCATCAATGACATTTCGGAAAAGCAGTATTCTTGTGGATATGTTGTGGAATCTGTGCCTTCACTCTTACTGCTTTTGTAAAGGGTTATCTCATACCTCCAACATTTAACAGATGGAAATAGGCACACGTGTGAGAGAGGGACAAGGAAATCTCTCTTCATGATAAAGGCAATATTTTGATGCAGTAAGTAAATAAACTGCAAACACCAACTTTTCTGCCATTTTCTAGCTGTTATATTTTGTGAATTTTGCTATTGCCCCAAGGGAGACTTTTTTAAAAAAAACCTAGTCCATCAAATTGCATCAGCAATGAAATATTATACATGATTCCCTGTGAAACCAAAGATACGCTGTTGTAAGTAAGGTTTGCCCTGTGTATCTGGAACATTGCAATGTATGCTGAAGGTCTAGTTTAGGTTGGTTATGAACATGTAACACGATATCTGGTAGTTGCTGTATGTGCTGCCAAAACTAGAAACAGTATGTTTTGTTGCCTTCAGTACTGCATCAGGTGTTAGCTCCTCAGCACAGCTGGAATTTCCTTTTTCTGTGGTGGTGTTTTAAATTGTTCCTCAGAACTGGAGCATCTTCATCCTCTTTAAATGGGAATTCTGGCCTGGGCAGTGTTTGCCAACAAGACAAGCCAGTTAATGTTTGTCACCTTCATTCTTTGCTGGTTCCACCTGTAACCAAACACACAGGATATTATCAAATAAAGGGGTGCTTCTAGAGGTGGCTTTTATGGCACTATCATCTTGCATGTTTAGGAAGGGTTTAGACATCATTATTTTCTGTGTGTGACCTCATCTGTATTTTATTACTACTGCTTCCAGCTTTTCCCTTTAAAAAAAGGAGAAAAAGATAGAATAGCTGTACCATGCCTTCCTATTGCTAGCACTAGAAACCTTTTGTCTGGTGTTGTGAGGTTCTAAAAATAAACCTTTGTTCTCTCTGCCTTTATTTGGATGCTTCCAGTTGGAGGGCCCTAGCTCTATGAATTAGAAGACATTGTGCAGCTACTCCATCTTTTTCTCCCTAAAGGATTTTCTGCAGTAAAAGACAGAAGAAACAGTGACAAAACACAGAAGGGTGATTAGTGGAAGAAGACACCCTACATAAAATTTTGTAGGTGGGGCAGGGTGATTGCACAATAAAAGCCTCATCTGAAAGCATCTGTTTATTTATTTATTTAGAACATTTGTATGCTGCCCCATTTGCAAAAAGCCTCGGGGTAGCTTACAAAAACAAATAAACAATCATACAATTAACCTTAAAAATCCGGAGACATCTCGGCACAGATATAAAAACCAATAAATACAATCAACAATTAACAATTAAAACATCACTTAAATAAAAAGGTCTTGGCCTGGCGCCGAAAAACAAATAATGACGGCGCCAGGCGGACCTTTCTGGGGAGCGCATTCCATAGGTGGGGCACCACTGCAGAGAAGGCCCTCTTCCGGGTACTCACCTTCCTAATATCCTTCACAGAGGGCTCCTGGAGAAGGGCCTCCTCCGCCGATCTCAAGGGGCGGGAGGGTATATATGGACGAAAGCGCTCCTTTAGGTAACCAGGTCCCAAGCTGTTGAGGGCTTTATAGGTGATAACCAACACCTTGAATTGGGCCCGGACTTCAATGGGAAGCCAGTGAAGCTGAAGGACGACTGGGGTTATATGAGAACACTGCCCAGTCCCCGTCAGCAACCTGGCAGCTCTGTTTTGCACAAACTGAAGTATCCAGACTGTCTTCAAAGGCAGCCCCACGTAGAGCGTGTTACAGAAGTCTAATCGGGAAGTTACCAATGCATGTGTCACAGTCGCCAGGCAATCATTCTTCAGGTAGGGACACAGCTGATGGATCAGCCGAAGCTGAAGGAAAGCGCTCCTCGTCACCACCGTCACCTGAGCTTCTAATGATAGCTCTGGGTCGAGGAGCACTCCTAAGCTGTGAACCCTGTCCCTAAGAGGGAGTGCAACCCCATTCAGGACAAGGCCCAGGTCTCCTACCTCGAAGCCTGAACCACCTACCAACAGGACCTCCGTCTTGCCTGGATTGAGCTTCAGTTTATTGGCCCTCATCCAGCCCATTACCTCGGCCAGGCACCGGTTCAGTACAGCCACTGCCTCACCTGGATTGGTTGAAAATGAGAGGTAGAGCTGGGTATCATCAGCGTACTGATGATTCCGCAGCCCGCACCTCCTGATGACCTCTCCCAGCAGTTTCGTGTAGATGTTAAATAGCATGGGGGACAAAATGGATCCCTGTGGAACTCCATGGCATAGCTGCCATGGCGCAGAGCCATAGTCCCCCAGCACCACCTTCTGGAATCAGCCATTGAGATAGGAGCAGAACCACTGCAAAGCAGTGCCTTCAACTCCTAATCCCGCAAGCCTATCCAGAAGGATACCATGGTCGATGGTATCGAAAGCCGCTGAGAGGTCCAGGAGAGCCAAAAGGGACGCACTCCCTGTCTTTCTCCCTGCACAGGTCATCGTACAGGGTGACCAAGGCAGATTCAGTACCGTACCCGAGTCTGAAGTTGGACTGAAATGGGTCCAGATAATCAGTTTCATCCAAGAGTGCTTGAAGTTGTCCCTCCACACCCACTCTAACACCTTGCCCAAGAACGGGATGTTGGCCACCAGTCTATAATTGGCGACCACCTCTGGATCCAGGGATGCCTTCTTTAGGACTGGCCGGACTACCGCCTCCTTTAAAGGGGCAGATACCTGGCCGTCCCTTAGGCGTTGACAACCTCCAGGATCCAGGTCCCTATCCCGTGCTTGGCTTTCTTGAGTAGCCAAGATGGGCAAGGGTCCAGTAAGCAGGTGGTGGGACGTACTGCTCCAAGCACCTTGTCCACATCATCAGGCCACAACAACTGAAACTCATCCATCAATTTTGGACCAGATGGCAACATTGGCATCTCCCCAGAAGGCTCTGAGTCACTAGTGGAGTCCAGCTCGTGACAAATCTGAATGATTTTCTCCTTGAAATGCTTGGCAAAGTCATCACAGTGGGCCGTCGAGGGCATTACTGTCCGGGTATTTTCTGGAAGTCTTTGTATAAAGTCAAAAATGATAGTATGATGTATATGCATGTGTGTAGAAGTCTTACAGTTTCCAGCCCAAAAACTGCCTGTAGATTCACACAGCTGTAGAACATGTTGTGCTAAAGTGGCTTTCCACTGTTGTTTTCATAGTATTTACAAATCAACCAGCAACTAGTGATAAAATGAAAACTCATTTTTATCCACAAATAGGACATTTTTCTGTAATGACACTTAGAATAATGTCACATTCTTGATTTACATTGGACTGTGTCATATATTAATATGACTCCATATATTTTCCTTATTATAGTTCCTCGGATTGCTCTTTACAGGTAGATGTGGACTATGTGGGTTTGCATGAATGCTCAGAAGGAACACATCTCTCAGTGGATATGGGCTCATGCAGGAGGAGCCCAATAGAACAGGCAGGCTGTTTTAAAGGTGAGGTAATTGTTCTGTTGGTGGACGGTAACCTTGCCATGATGTGAATGCTTTCCCAGCCTTAAGAAAACAGTGGCCTGAACCCATCCCAAGTTTTGGAAGACACACTCTTTGGATTTGTATCAAACTACAAGCTAGGGTGAAATGTTTTATCTGTTATTTTAAAAACTCATGAAAGAAGGTCATGTTGGCCCAAAGAAAAATACTATAATCAGCCTTTATTAGGTTAACTTAAAGTTGACAGAATGGTGTGCAATTCTTGAAGTTTTTTGGGTCCCTTGTCAGGCGAGCTGGTAAGCAAAGCAAGAGGGAAGGACTGTGTGAGATACTGATACTGAAGTTGTGGAATTAGAGTAAGATGCAAAGTGAGAGTGGGACACAGTCTTTCAATTGAGGATTTTCTAGGTACTGAGGTGGTTTCAATTTACACGTGGGATCTTTGCAGACCTTGCTTGGAGGAATTAAGCAACAATGGTAGTCTCAGTTTTTGAAAATATAAAATCCTCTAGGTTAGCTTTATAAAGAGACTATGTAACTATGGATTTTAACGTTTTTATTTTATATTTCTAAGTTTTCTTACCTTTGCTTTTGTACCTCTGTTCATCAGATGCAAAGCCAGAAGGAAGATCAGCCAACCAACAACAATCATTGTAAAGATTCTCCACTTAAAGAATATGCCTTGATATGGTCACCTTTTAAAGATCAAAGGATTGACATGAAAATCACCTTTCAAATGAATTTAAATAGCTCAGTACTTTGGCTTTACTGGTGAATCTCTGTGATGAACCAGCCTGTGCAATAACCTTGATTGTGACATCACTTGTTATGTAACAGTTGCCCTAAGCAGCATGATGCCACCAAAAGCTTAGTTGACAGAACCAATGGCATTTAGATGACACCAGAATTGCAAAAGCAGGTTATAGCGTAAGAATCCCTTTTCTAGCTTACTCCTTTATTTTGGTTTGGGGGCGGGGGTTACAAAAATTCACAAAAAATAAAAAAATAAAAACATTACTCAAACTATTTGTATTGGGCCTAGGCTGTAAAATCCAGGCTTTGTTCTCTGGCTCCTAAAGTAGACCTTGCTTAGCATGAGTAAGCTGCTGTCCTACAGCTACCTTGGTCAGTGTAATTTTAGTTATTGTTTTCTTGCCCTAGGAAAGATGGCAGAAGGACAGACATGAAGCTATGCTCTGCCTGGGAGCCTACCTTATCGAACCAATAGTGAGCTTATGCTTCATTAGCTTAATATGACATCCTATCATTTTGGCACCTGGAGTGGGAATATTTGAATGGTCAGGATGGGAAACCTCTGCTGTTGTCTTGTGGCAGGCTAACAAGGATGGGAAACTTTATGTCCCATAGAGTACAATGATGGGAAGCTGCCTATAGTATACATTTTGTCTTGCTAATGAGGTAAACAAGTAGCTGCACACTGCTTAGGTCATTGCACCTGTGTAACAGCCATCCCCTTTCTCACAGTTAACCTATAAAAGCTGGTCATTCTCTTTTGTGTATTGTTTGGACACCAATGTCCTTGAGGGGGCTTTGCTGACCATCCATTCCAGCTGATTGAATCCTGCCTTGCAGAACAGTCCACACAGCACATGGTAAGTGCTGCTCAACCCTTGGAAAACTAGCTGGTAATTTGCCTGTTGCAACAATAAAGTTTCCCTGTAAGCAAACCTGGATCTAGCATATTGATTTCTGGGGATCTATCAAACCTTTAGCCTACAGTTGAAACAACACACTATTGCACAAATAAAACTGCTTCACTGTAAGTATTAAGGTGGCAATCCTATACACACTAAAGAATAAACACTATTGAATTTGGCTTAGGTCTGAGATGGATAGGATTGCATGAAAAGATACATCTCATAAAACCAAAATCTGTTCTGTGCACACCTGAGCCAACAGGTTATCAAATGAACCTTTTAGTCTATTAATTCCAGCAGCCCCTTCAAGTGTCACAGAGCAGCTTCTTTGCCTCAAGCTGACACAATGTACAAAGCACTCATCTCAGATCCCACCCCTGCAGGTGAGGAAACATATTAGCAACATTTTTTCTCGTTTGAAACAATTTTGTGGAGTTGCTACCAAATTCTGCTTGGCTCTTAATGTTGCATGTTTGTTTACAGTCAGGTACGGAAGACTACCTTTGAAGTTAGGGTATTTATTTTTATTACATTTTTAAACTGTTCAATTAGCATTTTTTTAAACACTGATAGCATCAATGATGCAGCTAGGAAAATTTAAACTCTTAGAGATAATGATCTTACAGAGTCCCCTTTTAGATGGGCACATGGCTTACTTTTACTGGGAAGCACACAACTAACATTTCTGCACTTCCCACTCAACTGCCACCCCATGCTTTACAACACTTTCTGCATTCTTTTGATCCTAAAACAGTAACAAAAATATTTACTAATCCAGAATGTAAAGCTCCAAACCTTTGAGCACGTGCAGTTTTGTATTTTAATGGCAGCACCACCATAAGTGCAGGTATAAAAAGTTGCTTTCTTTTCTGGATGGTCATTTTGAGAACCTCTGCCGCTACACAGGCTATGTGGCTTTGGGCCCCAAGTCCCAGCTCTATCTGCACCACTGGGTGTCATAAGCTGACACACTGAAGGATGCAGTGTCCATTAATATCGTTATTAAATGCTCAGTCTGAATGTCATGGGTACTTTGTCCTCACAAGCCAGTTAACGATACGAATTGAACCTACCGCTCCATCCTTTCAATGGCTCTAACATTAAGGCTAACAATGGACTAAACGTATTTTCAGACGTGCAAAGACAAAGTCGGGGGTCCAGGGGCACGTTCTGGCCGAGCAGAAACAGCACTCGCCAGCGTCAAGCATCCTGACGGAGAACCGGCCAACGCGCTGCCTCCGGATCAGTGGCTTGACATTGGCGTCGGCGAGCCACCGAAAGGCTTGGCGCTGCGTCTTCAAGCCACAGCACGCCGGGCCTGTACGGCTTCCTCGGAAGGTGCGGCGCTGGGCGGCTTCCTCGCGTCAGGCACACCGAAAAAGGGGCGGGAGGAAGAGGGAAGAAGCCGCACGAGCGGCCCCGACCGGCGAAGTGCTCGCTCTGCGTTGGTCCTCGCCGCTTGCCGTCCTGCCCGGGACAAGGAGGAAGCGTCGCGAGGGCTTCAGGAGAGCGCGAGCCATGGAGTTCTCTGTAGAGAAGCTGAGGAAGTGGCTGAGCAAGGCAAGCGGCCGCAGGCCGGGAGAGCCACGAGAGAGCAAGCGGCGAGAGTTCTTTCCGCTCGCGCGCGGAACCCGCAACCCCGCCCCCTCGCCAGGCCTGAGCGGGAGGGGAGCGGCGAGGCGAACGGCTTGCAGCGACGGCTTCCGCGAGCTTCGTTTGGTTTCTGTTTAGCGGGAGAGACGTTGCCCCTGACTAGCTCCCCCGGCGCGGCAATGCGCGTGCGTCACTCTGGGGCTTGTTCTGGCTGGCTCTTGCCTCCAGACAAGTCCGTTTGTCCAGCAGGGTTCCACACTCGTAGGAATATTTATTATTGTGGTCCAGGCTTGCCTCCCTGAGCCCACAGTCTCAGGGTGATTTCAGCGCCCAACGATGGGTCGTATGCGCTCAGAGTAGACCCATTGCAATGAATGGGGCTTAAGTGGAATTCACCTTTGGACAATATGATAATCAGTGCTCAAGGGCTGAGTATGACCCATGGATTGTTGTTTGAAAGATGGGCTACTACGGATGAACCCAGCAGTGCAAATAAGTCATGACTTGCTCACTACAAGAATCCAGGAAGAGAAACTGTGGTGTTTTATTGGCTTATGAACTCTTGCTTATTCACCATGGTTACCTGCTGGGTTCAGTCCATAAGTCAAGCCACAGTCAATCCAAATTCAACCCTTGAGTGTGGGTTTTATTTTCTGAACCCAGTCAGAGTGTGCAAATGCTGTTTTTTGTGAGTGTGATCTCTTCCTAGGATCAACATGGAACAAAGTTAGGCTGCAATCCTACAGCACGTATGTAGAAAAAAGACCCACTGAATCAGGGAGAATCATTTATGAAAAGATGCAGACTGGATTGCACTGTGGCCCTGTTGGCCCAAGAGGAACCCGGCCATTATATTTTTCTGGGTTTCAGCAGTCCTAGTTGTAACATGGAACTTGCATGCCAGTCAACAGAGCTTCGTTTGTTCTGGTTGATACATGTATACAACAGCTTTCCCCAAGCTGGTGTCTTCCTGATGATTTGGACTTGAGCGTCTATTAGTCCCTGTCAGGGCCAATGGTCAGGAATGCGGGAAATTGCTGTCCACAACTTATGGAGGGCAGCCAGTTAGGGAAGGCTAAAAGTACAGTCTAATTCCTAAATTATGTGGCTTGCTTCAGCTGACTCTGAAGTGAATCAAACTTGTACCGTACAAATAATTCAGAGGTTTAGGATTTCAGCCCAATAAAAATGCCAGGTTTGAATTGTTGCAAAACTCGTACATCAAACTAGAGTTCTTTAAAATAACAAAATGTTCTTTGTTTTGTCTCCAGTATAAATTCAGAGATCTGACCATAGAAGAACTGAAGACTGTGTATGAATTATATCCAAACATCACATTTGCCATGAATACCTATAGTAAGACCAACTATATTGGCTAGTTGATGAATGGTGTAAGAATGTTGTTGTTTTTATCTTTTTAAGGAATATGTCAAGATTTCTTAAAATCTATACATATTATTTGCAAAGAATTTCACGTAAGGAACTTCACCTGTTTATGTTCACTGTTGACAATATAATATGCAGCACAATATGCATATGCATGTTTACTAGGAAGTAAACACAGGTGAGTGTGCACAGGATAGCAGCCTGTCAGTGCAATCCTATGTCAGAAGTAAATTCTACTGATTCTGGAGGCTTCTTTTCAACTGAGTGGAGGATTTCAGCCTTAATTACTATGTGTATAGTTTTGAAGGTGTTAGCAGTTATTTGATTAAGAGTTTGGCTTAGAGCTATGAACTTTATATTGATGTGCTGCTGTTTGTTTTGCTATAATTTGTTACACTTGCTGCTATATTATATTTCATGACATTACGTGTTGCTTTTTATATTTTGCATTCTTGATTTATTTATCTATATTATTTGAATTCTGTCTCACCCCACTAGCCACACAGTTCCCTGTGACGATTTGTAGATGTTCTGTTTTGATTTTTAAAAACTGATAGCAGCTTTTATGCTTTTCTAAAAAGAAAACCTAGATATAAATGTTAGATCAATCACTAAATCAATTAGCTGTGATATAAAATGCAGTACCACGATATCAATAACAATTTAAAGAGAAAAATGAACTCTGCAAACATGTACAAATCAATGTTATGAATTTCAGCTTTCAAGGATGGGTCCCAGAAAGACCTTCTGAATTTTAGTGGCACTGTTCCAGTGAAATATCAGGGTAAGTTCAACACATTATTTTTGTACTTATTGGTGTCTAGTTGTTTGATTCCTAATAAGAAATTGGGAAGTAAAAGTAGGACTAGGAACAAAATATTACAAAATATCATCAGCTCCTATCCTAGCAGCAGTGTTCCTCCGAGCAACCCCTGTGAGGAAAGTTTACAACCTCTGCAATTGTTTAGTTCAGAAAAAAAGGCAAGTGAGGGGAGACATGACAGAGGTGTACACAACGATGCAGGTGTGGAGAAAGTGGATAGGGAGACATTTTTCCCTTTCTCAAGGTAACAGAAGCAGGTGTTATCTCATAAAGCTGATTGGTGGGGATTCAGGACAGATAGAAGGAAGTACATCATCACACAGTGCCTAGTTAAAACTGTGGAATTCACTTCAACAAGAAGCAGTGATAGCTACCAATTTGGATGGCTTTAAAAGGGACTGGATTAATTCTTGGAGAATAAAGCTATCAGTGACTACTAGTCCAGATGACAACAGGAGTTGCTGTGAAAACAAAGTAGTTCTAGCATACTTAAGTCTGATCCACCCCTGGGCTATATTAAATGTTAGAAGGCTGTGTAGTCAGCGAAGAAGCAGTGATTATTCGTAGCATTTTATGTTTTGTATTTTGACAGGTAATTCCTATAATATTCCAATTTGCCTATGGATTTTAGATTCTTACCCTTTTACTCCTCCAATTTGCTTCTTGAAGCCCACTGCAAACATGGGAATTTCTGTAGGGAAACACATAGATGCCCGTGGAAGGATCTACTTGCCATATCTACAGAACTGGAGTCATGTAAGGGCTATGTGTGTGCATTTTATAAAATGACATTTAATACTTTACTAAAATCTGTAGACATTTTTGCCTCATTCTTTACTTAATGGGTTTATTTGCACATTACAACGAACAACCAGGCAATAAACCTGGTTTTTTGGGTGATCTGTGAACAATTCACAGCATTCTTGACAGATGACTGGGCTCACCCTGGTTGTTTGCTCCCCACCCCCTTTCTTCTGCAGGTATCTCATGGGATACTATGGCAGGACTAAATTGTCTTCCCACCCTTGTGCCTTGATCACCAGCTGTTTCTGACTCACCGTGGCATTTTTGCCATTTACCATTTGCCTCTCCCACTGAGATTGCAGAAGGTGGCTTGGCAGCTGCCTTTCACAAGCTTCATCTGGGCAACCACTGATAGCCTGTTCAAAGTACCCAAGTGGCACCAAAATGCAGCAGCTATCAACCCTGAACAATGACCCGAAAAGGCCCCAAGCAGGATTTTTCAAGAGACAGACTGTCAAGGGCAACCTAATGTATTAATAATCTTAGTTAATCTTTTCTGTGTGATTCTTATCTTTCCCTCTGCCGCCCCTCCCTCCCCAACAACTGTAGGGTGAAGCACATTTTGCACTTTTCTCCAAAACTCTTAACAATTCAGCAAGTACAAAAGTGCATCCACCCACTTTCCCTCTTTAGAAGGAGGTTATGACAGGGCACTGTATGGCTTCCATCTGGGACATAACGGCTGTACAGCAACCCCTAGAATAACCCATGGGTTTTCAGGTTCACATTTGTATGGCATTGTGACCTATTAAGGATAATAACCCAGGATGGGTTGTCATGTCAACCCAGACAACTTCATGTAAATTGTACATTAATTATATAAATGTAACTTTGAACATGCACTGTCAGCCTTCCATGTAGGATTACACCCATGCACACACACAAAATACAGGAGAAAATATAGACAATTTATTGGACTAGTAAAAAATGTGTGTGTGTGTGTGTGTATAATGAGGATCACTGTCTGCAAGGGTCAGGTCCTTAGTGTCACTTAGGACCAGAAAGCAGATTTCATCCAATGCTATTTCCAAGCAAACATGGGCTTTATGTCCACCCCATTTACAACCATTTTCTTATAAGAGAAAAAGTAAAATGTTGCATTCAAAGACATCATTGGGATGGCTCCCTGTCTTCCTGTGATTCCAAACCTGTAAGCCAAGCCTGCTCTTAAATATATATCCTTAATCCCGGATTCTGTTTATTTGTTACTCAAGTCGAGTAGGAAATTGAGAAGTAGCTTATGAAGAAAATATACCATTTTATAAGTTTTCCCATATTTTTATGGCAGTGCATATACATTGCATATCAAATTGCCTCATATTTTCAGTCAAGTTAGAGACATGAAGGGTTTTCCTTTTCCTAAAAGATTTTTGTCAGTAGAATGTTTTTTACCCAAAAACAGGTTCCTATCATTGATGTATGTATTTCAGCCACAGTCAATGATCATCGGTTTGTTAAAGGAAATGATCACAAAATTTGAAGAGGAGCTCCCTCTATACTCGCTTTCATCTTCTGATGCAGCAAGACAATCGGAACTACTTTCATATATTGCAAAAATCACTGAAGGTATATATTTGGGAACTTTTTATCTGGTATTTGTAAAACTGTCTTCTACTGATGGCCTTTGCTTTGGGTTCTTCTTTAAGAGCCCAGTCTAGTACTGTGTTTGTTTGTTTTCAGTATTTGTATTTTTTTTTCAAATCTAGGGAAATTCCAAGTTACACTACAGGATCCAGAGGGGGGTTGGCACAATGCAGTATCTTGTCTTTTTGGCCCAGACCTAAAAACCTTCTTCATCCCTTGTGCTAGGCTGCTGCTGAGCTGCTGCTGGTGAATGCATTGCAGAGTTTTAGTTGGGTGGTGGAAAAGGGGTATAGAGGTGGGGTGTGCGTGTGCCAACTTGCAGCATATTTTAAAGGCAACGAGAGTGGCTGCGTTCATCACCTCTGTATGAACAGAGTTAGTGCACCTGGAGAGGCAGATGTCTACTTGAACTATAGCAAGGATACCATTGGGTTGCCCAACTTATTTATTCCTAGGGAGGTTCCTTCTTTTCTGATTGGGTTTTTGTGCCGAGCCAGACCAGAACCATTGCATGGGAGAGAGGATTTTATGCCTTTGCCTCTGTCACAGTACTAGCTGCAGTTGGGGGGGCCTTACATGTGCTGTTTGCAATGTGAAGAAAGCTCCCATTGGTCTTTACTTCAGGAATTTTGCTCTTCTTGCTTAAGAAAATTTCAGACTGCAACCTCGAAGATGATAATGCTTAACCCCACCCTCCATGAGCTTCAGTGCATGTAACCAGAGACCAGTGGTTTCTTCTGAGCACCTCCTCACAGATCTCCATAATTCTAATTACTTTTTGTTTCATAAGATTCAGCCAATATTTTTCACAGAACTCCAGTATTTACAGTTTGTGCTTTTGTTGTTATATGCCATCAGGTTGTTTCTGACTTATGGTGACCCTATGAATGAATGGTCTTCAAAGTGTCTTGTTCTTAACAAACCTGCTTAGCTTTTCTAAACTCAAGTCTCTGACTTCTTTTATGGAATTGAGACATCTCGTATTTTGTCTTCTACTTCTTCTACCTTCAACTTTCCTAGCATTATCATCTTCTTCATTGGGTCTTGCTTTCTCGTGATTTACAGTGTCTAGATCCATTTATATAACTTATTATATATTGTTTTAGGTGAAAACAACATACAGTCCAAGGGAGATGGGAAGAAAAGCAATGGAGGATTTAATAAAGTTACAGTGATTGGAGCAGGGGATCTGGGCCTTGCTTGTGTGCTGGCTATCTCAGCAAAGGTATATACTTCATTATCCTTGTTGCTGTAATGGTTCCAATCTGGGATGAACTAATTATTCCTAAAATAAATATATTTATTCTCCATAACATATACTAACATTAGGATTGGAATTGATTGATTGATTACAGATTTACACTGAATCCTACAGATGTTTATTCAGAAAAATTCCCATTGAGATGAATGGGGCATACCCCCAGATAAGTACTATACACACTGAACTGAGAGTAATCTCCATTAAACTTGGTGCAACTTTTTTGAGTAAAACTTTCAGAGGATTGAACTATCAGGGTTTATTTATGCAAGCTCTCAGCACATGGTAGCTATAGTCCTTAGTAAGCCTGTGTTGACTTCTAGTTGTGGAAGCTGTGTCTTGCCAATGGCTTCCATTGAAGTCAGCCTGTGCTTACTTGAAACTTACTGCCTTGAGCACTTGAAAATCTTCTGCTTCAATTGTTACGTGTTCTCAAGTCATTTTTTATTCATGGTAGCCCTATGAGTCAGTGCCTTCCAAAGTGTCCTGTTCTTCACAGCCTTATTCAGCTCTTTTCAACTCAAGGCTACAGCATCCTTGATGGAATCAATCCTATCTCATAGTTCCTGTTCCTCTTCTTTTGCCTGACTTTCCCTAACATTAATGTGCTTTCCAGTGACTCTTGCCTTCTCATAATATGGCCAGTATGGCAGTTCCATTGTTTTTGTTTCCAGGGCAAGTTCTGGCTTGAGTTGAGCCAAGACTCACTTGTTTGTCTTTCTTTATGTCCAGGGCACTAGCAAAGCTCTACCCCGGCACTTCGTTTCAGATGCATCATTTTTTCCCCGTCTGCTTTCTTCACTGTTCAGCATTCACATCCATACATGGTGATTGGGAATACAATAGCGTGGATGATCTTGGCCTTGGTCTCCAGTGAAATGTCCTTATGATGACATAGTGATGATCTTTTCTAGTTCCTGCTTCATTGCTGCTATTTCCAGCCTCAGTCTTCTTTGAATTACTTGGCTGCCATCTCCATTAGAATTGATTGTTGAAACAATGTATACAAAATCTTTCACAGGTTCCATTTCTTCATTCTTCATTCAATTTCTTCACAGCAAAATTGTGCAATTCTTTTATAGTCATGATTTTTATTTTCTTAATGTTCAGCTGCAGTCATATTTTGTACTTTTTCATCAGAAGTTATTTCAAGTCATTGTTGCTTTCTGTCAGTAATATGGTATCATCTTCATATCTTAAATTACCTGATGTATGTTCACCGATTTTCACCCCTTCCTCTGATCCTAAACCAGCTTTCTTTATATGTTTTGCATACAGGTTGAACAGATAGGGAGATAAATTAACAATTATTTTAATTGTTAAATTATTGAATTAATTAGGATTTTAAAATTTTTAGCCGAGAATGCACCGGGGGTTTTTAAACTATTTTTTAATTGTTATATTATCATTATGTATGTATGTATTTATGTATTCTTTGTGAGCTGCCCCGAGGCTTTGTTGCAATGGGGGTGGCATAGAAATTTTTTAAATCAATCAATCAATCAATCAATCAATAAAATACACCCTTATCTGATGCTTTTGCCCTTAGGAAACTATACCATATTTTCTTCTGATAAAGATTATTTTCTTTTCTTTTAAAACATCTATATAGAGTGTTGCTGACAAGGTGGTTGTCTTGGACTGCTCAGAAGGTTCAGTGAAAGGAGGAACAATGGACCTGGAAATCTTTGCTTTGCCAAAGGTGGAAGTCAGCAGAGGTAGTGTGTTTAGTCTGTGATATTTTCCACACTATACTTTAAATGATCTTTCCAGGTAATTCTCGGAATTGTTGGTGAAAACTTTTCACTCTTGATAGTAATAGTTGAAAGCATGAGAATACTGAGGTACAGTAAATGAGAGAAAGAAGCTGCACACCCCCTTTGTTCTGTGTTCTTTCATAGTTCTATCCCCTTTGCTAGTTAAGCATCTAGGTCCATTGCAAGTTGAAATATTTGTTAAGAGGGCTGCTTTGCAGGTGTCGTACATGAAGTTCCGACAGAAGCAGTGACTCATGAGGAGGACTTGCACTTGATGACCAGTGTCCAAGAATCGACCTCACAACTCAGCGTAGGGACAGCAGAGCCAGCTGCTGCGTCTTTCTCTGACTCCCAGTACGTTGAGCAAGCGCCTGGTCCTTTATTAGAACCAGGGAGTCATGAGAAAGAGGAAGCTGCGAGTTCTATTCAGAAAGAGGCAGAGCAAGCTGCCTCTTCCCCCCCCCCCCCCCCCGATGCTGATTCCCCCAAGTCAGAAACAGAAGACACAGTAGGCCTTGTGGATTTTTCAAAAGCTGAGAACAGAGGGGGGTTAACATCTGTATAGCAAGAACTGCTATTAGAGTGCTTATCTAAAGAGTTGTGAATCTTGTAGACAATTAGCATTAAAGGACTTTAGTTTTATTGCTGGTGAGTATGTGGATTGTTTACAGACTGGGTGGGCAAGACATCACAGCAGGTTACAAAATCCTAAATGTAAGCCACACCCATTTATGAATTTGATTAAACTTGTATTTATTATTTCCCTATTTATGACATTTATTTGTGTGTTTGGTGTAGAGTGTGGTGTGTAGATTAATACAAACACCAAATGATGGCATTAATATAGCTTTTTTCATAACCAGAAGTAATGGGGTTATATCTCTTTCCCCAGAGGGGAGTTTCTAAGATGTAGAACTACTACCAAAAAAGTACCTACCAGCCTAATGATCCTTGCAGGTAAAATAGAGAGTAGGGTATCCGATGCTGATTTTAATGCTTGGGCATATTTGACTGGTCTTTCAGATAAGGTAATGCAAAGCTATTTAGAGCTTTAAAGGGCAAAAATAGCACCTTGAATTGCATGTGGAAATTAAGAGATTGTCAATGTAAATTATACAGAATAGGAGTAGTAAAATCCAACTGCCCAGCTCACACAGATTTTTTAGTTTCTGAATGATATTCTGGGGCAGCCCCATGTAGAATGTATCACAGTCATCTAACCTGGATGTAATCAGTGACCTTGTCACTATGGTAAGGTCAGCTTTGTGTGGACAGAGCTGCAGCTGACAACTCAGTCTAAGCTGGGTAAAAGCACTGCTGGAAACTGATGTCACCTGAGCTTCCATAGACACCATGGAGTCTGGGAGCACTGCTTGCTAGGCTCTTCCAGAGAACTGTAGGCTCATCCAGAGCCAGCTCCAAATCTCCATCTAAATTAGAGGATTTCCCAAACGAGTCAATGGTATAAAGAGCAGAAGTTACATGTGAACTGATCTGTAATGAGGGATTATGACAATGTCTGAGAACGATTTTATTTTTTAAAATGCAGTGCATATAAAATTAGATTGAATGATGTTTTCTGCCGACAGAACAGACAGCATTGTTGGAACAGATTCCCCTTCCCACCCTGCAGCTCCTTTGGAAGATGTGTGGTAGTGGAGTACAGGAAAAGAGGAAAAACATTTTGACAAGCAGAAGGCTGCTTGTTTGCCTTTGGATGTTGCCCTCCCGATCCTGGTCATGATCTTTACTGTGGGCACATTTACATGTCATGCTAGCCTATTCTGGCAGTATGCTACAATGGGTTAATTATAAGGCAAAAAAATCAGGCTTATGCTGAAATCTTTGTCAGCATCTCAGTTCTGCAGCCTGTAACTCTGGCAGTCTGACAGAGGAGATTCTAAATCAGTGGGACTTTTTGTGGCAAGGAATTTCATGGCAAAAGCTGAACTGTTAAAGTATTCAGAGCCACATATAGTAGGTGATAGTTGCTGTAGGCTTATTTTATGACATTTCAAGACTAACAATTCCAGTAATCTCTCTGACAGGGTTTATGGCTCTGGGGCAAAATTATTCTTGTCATCATCTCTCTCAAGCAGTCAAACAGGAAGTTTCAAAGACTCAAACCAAACTGCACACCCATGCAGGGATCTGTACCAACCATGCCCCTTGCATTAGAACCTCTGTGTGATATGAGCTCAGGCTTAACTGTTCCAGGAGATCAGACCCTGTTCAATAGCATGTCCATGAAAGTTTCTACACATGAAAGTTTCTACACATAGAGATCTCAATGCCCAAAGCCTGTGCATTGTTAGGGTCATCCTTCAAGCCACCCAGCAAGTTACCCTTCGGAGATCAGTGCTGGTTCACATGACACAACCATGGTAGCAACCCATGATGAGTTGCTGTGTTATTACTAGCCATAATTCTTTTATTTAATGCATGCATGCATGCACACACTGAAAAGCAAAATTCTTCCTATAAACCTTGGGAATTTGAAATGATGTTGCTTTTACACTCATGTCTGGACACATGAAAAAAAGATTTTCAATGTTTTCTTTGTATTTCCTAGATTTTTCTGCCTCGGCAGACTCAAAAGTAGTGGTGCTTACAGTTAATTCTTTAGGCAATGCTGAGTCCTATCTGGATGTTGTACAGAACAATGTGGAACTCTTCAGAGGCATTATTCCATCAGTAGCACAGTACAGTCCGCACAGTGTGCTACTTGTGGCGTCTCAACCAGGTACAGCAGTGTTAAGCTTTATGATTTATTGTACCTGTCCTGGATAGAACATGACTCAAAATTAGTCTTCTCTTACTTAACAGGCATATTTCTTAATGAGGCTACAAGGTCCACTCCATTTGCAGTAATACTCAACAGCTAGAAAGCAGTTTTAAGAATTAGGGGTGTGTGTGTGGAGACATTCATCTGATTTGTATTTTGGCATTTTATTGTAGGGAACTGATGGACATGAATAAAGTATTTCCTTGGTTCCAAAGGTTTTTATAAAACTTGTTTTATAAAAGTTGGCTTCAAACTCGACATGAAGAAAACTAAGATCATGGCATCGGGTCCTATCACTTCCTGGCTAATAGATGGGGAAGAAATGGAGGTAGTGACAGATTTTATTTTCTTTGGCTCCAAGATCACTGCAAATGGTGACTGCAGCCAAGAAATTAAAAGATGCTTGTTCCTTGGGAGGAAAGCTATGGCAAATCTAGACAGCATACTAAAAAGCAGAGAGATCACCCTGCTGACAAAAGTTTGTATAGTCAAAGCTATGGTTTTCCCAGTTGTAATGTATGGCTGTGAGATTTGGATCATAAAGTGCTGAAGAATTGAGGCCTTTAATTATGGTGCTTGTGAAGATTCCTGAGAATCCCTTGGACTGTAAAGAAATCAAATCAGTCAATCTTAAAGGAAATCAACCCTGACTGCTCTTTAGAAGGTCAGATACTTAAGATGAAACTCAAATACTTTGGTCAACTAATGAGAAGGAAGGACTCACTGGAGAAGAGTCTAATGCTGGGAACAATAGATGGCAAAAGAAGAAGGGGACGGCAGAGGATCAGGTGGCTAGATGGAGTCACTGAAGTAGTTGGTGTGAGCCTAAGTGGACTCCGGGGGATGGTGGAGGACAGGAAGGCCTGGAGGAATGTTGTCCATGGGGTCATGAAGGGTCAGTCACAACTTTGCAACTAAGCAAACAAAAAACTTTTTTTTAGTTCACAATGTAATAAATTCCACTGCTTATTCCCCAAAGAACCTGTAAACACCAAGACTGATCCTAAAATAACTTGGTGGGAAGCCTCACTGAAATCTGTGGGTCTGCCTGCTGACAGAAAGTATCTGTGAGGAATAAGTAAGGGGAATTTTGAAATTTTGAAAGCACTGCAGAGTGGAAGCAGAACTGCTGAATGTTGTTGACCTTCCTGTTGCCTTCCACTGGCCCAGCAACACCAGTTTCATACTGCCCATAAGGACTTACTTTGAGGCAGAAATACTTAGGTTGGGATATAAGCTCTTGGAGAGCCCACTAAAGAGGCGTGCAATTTTGCAGGATCAAAAGTTGGCATTTGGTAAGCTTATACTTGTCCTGCAACCAAACACTAACGTTTTGCTATGTTGTTGTAAGAAATAGCCATAACAAAACAGAACTGCAACAAAACAGAAATAAGTTACATGGAATATGACTTTTGAAGCTTAAAAAGGAGTGTGAAAAGATAAAAACTTACAAAAATGTCATTAGTTATATTGATCAGAGATTTCATGCTTTTGAAATCAGTAGAATTACTGATATGCAAGTTCTTGTACTTGCTTTTAAAAGCCTGATGAAAATTAAAGTTTTTCACTTGATTATAAACCTTTATGGCACACTGAACTAAGAATACAATTTTGTATGTCTTTTGATATATCTTTTGTCAAACCTACAGTGGAAGTAATGACCTATGTGTCCTGGAAGATGAGTGGATTTCCTAAAAACAGAGTTATTGGTATTGGTTGTAATTTGGACTCAGTGAGGTTCCAATATATTATTACAAACCAGTTGAAAACTCAAACAAGCGGCAAAAATAATTGGATTATTGGTGAACAAGGGGAAAACAAAGGTAAATTTATGACTTCTGTAATGTTCTACCTTTTAGTTTTATTTTGGATTTTGTATTAGAATATTGGTTTGTTACAGTTTCATTTCAGAAAATAATGTGCTTTTATTTTCTCTTTTATAAAAAGTGCTGGAGATAGCAACATGATATAAATTCCAAGTGCTGTGATTTCCTTGACAGATAGTTTAGAGGAGCAATTGAGCTGGGAAATATTGTGGTTCTGTAGCAGTATCAACTTTCCCAATTATATATTTTGTAGTTCTGTTTTTCATTGCTTACAATATATTTGGCTGGTTTGAGGTTTGTTTGCTTCTTGATCCACACAACTACACATACAATATCTATATACATGTATCTTGAATGCTGGATTATTAAGCTGCCTTAACAAGATACATTCTATTTTTAATAGAATCTCATAATTGCTAAAAGCAAAACAAAAAAACACATATCCCAACGTGATAGGGAAAAAAAACCTGATTGTAATTATCTTATTCAGTAACAGCGTGGAGTGCTTCTAATTCAGTGACAAGTCCTCAGGGTGAAGATTTAGCAAACCGTAATGCCCAGCAGGAACTGGTTAACAGGTAAAGATATTACAGTACAATCTATACATGTCTACTCAGATGTAATCTCTTTTCACAAGTAACTCTCACTGGATTCAGTGGGGCTTACCAAGGTTAATAAATATAGAATTTCAACCTAAATGTATATTTCATTTATATTTGAGTGATATAGAGCAATTTTTCTTGTACCATATTTATTGCTATGTTCAAGCATGAGTATACAGAAGAAAAACTTGTTAGGGAAGTGCATTTTGAATCTTGCATTTGTTTGTTTTTAATTTCTTATAGAGCCATGGAAATCCTGAAAGCAAAAGGCCAAAGATCTTGGTCTGTTGGTCTGTCAGTAGCTGATCTCACTGATAGCATATTGAATGATAAAAGAAAAGTGCATTCCATATCAACTATGGTGAAGGTAAGCATGAACACAATATGATTTTAATGTAACAGAGCAAGGATTAATTTGTAGATATTTGAAATATATAAAGAGAAATGCACAGTTATGGGCTACAAAATAAAATATACTGGGAGATAGAATTAAGCATTAGATAAATCCATAGGGCTCTTTCCAGTACTGCCCCTGTACTTCCCTGATTCTCTTGAGACACTGGGGCCCATGAATATCGCAATAGGGAACTGCCACTTTCTAAAGGAACTGAAACGCTTGTTTTGGGAACAGTATGGGCCAGCAAAGCTCCCTTCTGCAAGTTTTGCTGACCTTCCTTGTGCCAGCTTGTTTCTTTTTGCTTCAGGATCTGCTAGTTTTCCAGAAAGTGGTAGGTTCCACTACTGGATAGAATGCTGCCCATTCTTATTTTTTAAACTGTGTATGTATTGCATTTTAAAGTATGGTTTTTTAAAAAATAAATGTTAATTGTGTAAGCTTCTGTTGAGAGGCCTTATTTTGGTCAAAAGGTATCACAGAAATCAAATTAATAAATGATTTATTAGTACTGAAATCAAACCGAGAACTGCTGTGCTTGTAGAGTATTTAATAGTGCTTACATGGTACTTCCATGAAATACATAGTACTTATATAGTACTTCCACAAAATACATATTATTTCATATTTCAGATTATTACATAGATGCTCATTTTACACATTGTCCAGCAAAACAAGAAACTTGTAAAATTATCACATTATAAAGATGGTGCCTAGAAAGGTGCAGAAATAAATTTATTTTTATTTTTTATTTATTTATTTTCTGATTTATATCCTGCCTTTTTCCTACAAAGGGCTCAAGGCAGCTTACATCATTCTCCTCCTCCATCTTATCCCCACAACAACAACCCTGTGAGGTAGGTTGGGCTGAGAGTCTGTGACTGGCCCAGAGTCACCCAGTTGGCTCCATGGCCGAGCGGGGACTCGAACCCGGGTCTCCTGAGTCCCAGTCCCATGCTCTTCACCACTACACCACAAAAATCCCAAGTGGGAGGAGGGAGAGTAAAATTATCCTGAGAGTGATTCTGTAGCCCTCTAGACAGTTTCTAGAGGAATTTAGGGTAATCTGGAGTCCCAGTTGTAAGATCAGAAACATAGCTCAGACTTCAGGGCTGGGGAACTTCTTTCTGATCCTTCCCCCCCCGAGCTTGCAGCAGGACAAAAAGAACCATATCAATTGAAAAGTTGATCTTATAACCAGAAAACGAGAATGAAGAAGCAGGGAGGGGAGGAATTGAGGTATCCTGAGGGGGCTTCATCTTTCTTTCTTCCTTCCCCCTCCAAAGCACCATAGTCAGGTGGCCAAAACTGGTCAGCTAGCTGAATTGGAGAGTAAGAGGCAGAAATTACTTCCTATACTCAACATTATCTCATAATTTCCCAGATTGTTCTCCAAATGCATTTGAATATGTTTTCTAACATGCTGTGTACTCAAAAGTACAAACCTACAGAAAGCATTTGTACCACAAATGGGGGGCAGATGTGAAAAAGTAAACTGAACAGTCCTTTTGCTTGCTTATTCACTCAATCATACCTCTTGATACTTGATCTGGTTTTAAAGTACCGGTATAACTTGAAAGCCAGTGATATTCAACCTTGCCCTCTATGGCCTGTAGGGTATAGTAATCCTTTTTACAGTGCATGTATGTTTATTCTGAAGCAAGTCACACATGGTTCAATGTCCACACCCAAGGGTTATATATAATATGTCATCAGTATGTGAAAGTTATTTTCTTCTTTTCTAGGGGTGTTATAATATAAACTGTGAGGTATTTTTAAGTATGCCGTGTGTACTTGGAATCAATGGAGTGACTGAAATGATCAAAACATTAGATGAGGATAGCATGGCAAGGAAACTACAGTCCAGTGCTACATCTATTCATGACCTCCAACAGCAATTAAAACTTTGAACATCATGGATTTATAGTTTTAGCCCTCTACAAATACTGTATCAAAATGTGCAATGTGTTGATCAAGTATGAAATCCTGTAGCATGAAGCTTGGCTTCACACTTCTTATATCCCATTGTGTGATTTTGCTGGCTTTTATACTCCAGCACCGTGATTTTACCTGTACAGGAACTTATAGCAATAATGTACAATATTTCCTTCTTACCATGCTGTACTGAGTAAACAGCAGCACAGCAAGCTTTTCATCACCACCAAAATGAGTTGTGGCTAGAAGTTTTATTTCAACAAGGGTTGATATACTTTTGCAGGAGAATTATTTTAGCAAATTGACTGTGTATAAATAGTACTTAATTCTAAAGCTTAGACATAGAAAGGACTGACAGCAAAGAACAAGATACTGTCTAAACTTAATGTCTGTATTTACTGTTTTTTAAATGTTCACTCCATCGGAACATTAGGGGAACAGGGAAATATTATTATAAATCACTTAAAGGTGGAGTTGGGGAGCATTGCAGATACACTTTATTTATCCTTTACTGTGTCTGAAAATATTTTTCAGTGCATTTTGTATGAATTATCCAAAGATTTAAATAAATGTCTTGGAAAGAAGAAAACACAAAATAAAAACCTGAAAGTACTAGTTTGAAGGTTGCTATATAAAATGTAACTAGTTAGGATGGTTGTTTTCTTAAAGGAACATTGGCTAAATCCAAAGAGCACGGTGTTTTGTGTTTGCACTGGGGAATTTTGCTTCCTCCTTCCTGCTCCAGTTCCTTGTGCCCTTTGAAAAGCTACCCTGAAACCCAGGCAATTATCTAGAGCCGCTTGTGTCTCATACAACTGGGGAAATAGGAAATGTTGACCTCCACATACATACATACAAACAAACAAACAAACAAGCTTTTAGTTCACATACAGGTTGTGGGATCTTGGTCAATATTTGTTTTTGTTTTAATTTGATTAAGTAAATAATACAAAAATAAATCAATGACAATGGTTAAAAAAGAAAAAAGTTACAATATGAATAAATTGTCATATAAATCAAAGCAATTAATAACCAAATTATATTATACTTAACACAAAAACTACACTCCCATGCCTTTGATTATACTTCCCCTTTCTCAGGACGTTGGTCAATATTTGAGAGTGGATAATATGGGTACTTTATACAAGAGGACATTTTGGAATGCAACAAAACATACATTTAAGTTGCAGTCCTATTGATTGTGCCTTAAATGCTCAGGAGCGCCCTAAGTCAGAGGCTTATAGGCAGTCAGTATGGTGCAGGAAAAGCAACAGAAGCTTTCTGCACTTCCCCACATGTCCTGTTCTACATTTTCCAGCTCTCCCCCTTGGTGTGGGAGGGAAAGACACTGTAGTGCCATCAGACTATATCAATTCCTAATGACCCTAGTCTCATCACCCTCCCATTCCCCTGGAATGTCCCCATTGCCCCCTCCAAAGGCAGTTTCCTGACCTTAGAAAGGCAGCCAGCAGATCTTCCTTTGCCAGCAAAGTCAGAGCATGAATTCCCAGCTCTGACCTTGGAGCTCTGAATCTGATCTTGGAATCCAAATTATCCTATGGGTCCTTGGAATAACTGGCCATCTGTCCTTTAGTGATCTTTCTCATGACAGAATCATGTCAAGAAATTATTTCCTTGGATACAGTTATCTAAAATCAATATAATTAAAGAACTTAAATGGTGATTCAATAGCCAGAGTAAAGAAGATACGGAATAATTTTAATTGCTATATAATTGGGTAATCTGCTTTTATTTACTTTTTGTAAAGTAATTACTAGATCAAGTCACTGGGATAGGATGGAAGAACAGGTGAATGCACAGCTCACTCTTACGCACTGATAAATTTTAGCATGTTTGGTTCATTAATTGTAACATTGTAGCAAGTGTTAATACTACTAAATATTTACCAATCACAATATGGTAGAACATGTATCAGGTATGACTGTATGAAAATTCACTTTTTTGCTTTGACTTTTATATATGTTATTAAATATTAATAAAGATAGAAAGACCGAGCAGCTAACAGTATCTGAAGTACATCTATCAGCTTATGTTTCTTGATTATCATTTCAAGTGAGGAATTCTGAAGAATGGTGCATTATTTAGTTAGTTTTCCTTCTATTTTCAGTCATGCCAGTCCCACCAATATTCAGGCTGCAGTCCTGTGGGAGGGCACCTCAGGGCCCACTGGATGCTACAGACTTTCTCCTCTGTGAGTAGAGAGGGTGGTTGGTACATGGATGCTTTTCCTGGATACTGACAAACCTTTCTTGTTCTGACTCTCCCTCTGACAGTGGAACCAAGTAGAGGGCAGTATCAGGCAGCAAAACAAGTTTCTAGGCACCCTTATTCCTCTTGATGCCTCGCTCACCCATACAGAGCTGGAAACTACACAAAGATCTTCTGCAGTAAATTCTTCTAAGATGCAAGACAATGCACGGAAGGGAGCAGGAGAAAAGGAAAAATCACAGATCTACTCCCCATCTTGTGCCCTATCAGTTGCAAGTTGGCAGGGCTTGGAATGTTAGTGCTCTAGCACAGTGGTTTTCAACCTTTCCACAGCTGGGGACCAGCAAAAACAGGAAAACCACCTCGGGGACCACTGAGGCAGAAACAAAAAGCACCATACATATAATACAGTATCCTGGGTTTTACTGTAGTTTCCAAACACAATTCCAAAAAAATGAAATTTCTCCAAAACAACCAGAAACCGAGCAACAGAAATGCCAAAAAGGAACAAAATACTGAAATTGGCCCAGCGTGGCTCCCAGTCAGCTCACACCGAGCTGTCTCTCCCCGCACTGCCCCCCGCCCCGTGGCACTGGCGCACCCCCATGAGCCCAACCAAAGAAGAGGTGGTGGAGCACAGCCAGACCCCGCGCCGGTCCGTGGCGAGCGGGATGCAGCCCCCCTCCCCCCATTGACCGACAGGATATCTGTGGACTGGTGGTTGAAAACCACTGCTCTAGCATGTTCCTCCCCACCAGCATAATGCAGGAAATTGACAACAGGAACATCCGTCGGGACACACTTTTATTGCTCCAGTCACCCAAACCTAAGATCTCGAATCAAAGAGGGAAAGTAAAGCGCCCGCCGCACAGCTCTTCCCACCGCATCCTTGGAGGAATAAGCGGCCGGCCTCGCGGGACTGCGTGTGTCCAGCTGCCGGAAGTGACGTCGCGCTGTGTCGCCAAGCGGAAGTGGAGGAAGAAACTATTGGGAGAGGGGCTGGGCAGGGTTGGTCCTCGCCCGGGAGTTGGAGTGAGGGCCCGCGCGGGCGGGGAGCAACGATCGCTACCCCCACCCCGGCCGTCGGCGGGGAAGAGTCATCGCCACCATGGCCGTGTCAGAGAACCAGCTGAAGAAAATGCTCACCAAGGTAAGACCCGGCCGGCCAGCGAGCCCCTCCCAGCCCACTTGCATCCCAGCGCAGCCCTGGCTCTCCGCAGCGCCTCCCCCCCCCCCCCCCCCCCCGCTTAAGGCCTCAGCTCCGGCTCGCTTTTTCCTCTTACGGCGGGGGAGGACGGCGATGTGGACGTCTCCTCGCTCCCCTCTCATGAATAGGCCTCCTGTCACCCGCGGTTTCTGTTTCTCGCTGCTGGCGAAATATCTTCGCCTCCGCGTCAGTCACGAGTAATTGAGGCTGGCTTTCTGGGATTGGCATAATCCTGTGGGCCAAAATGGTCCTGCAGTGACCAGCGGAGGACTGACGGAAATATCCCTCTCCCGGCCACAGTATGTTTCCCGGGTGCTCAGCGCGCTGAATCGAATTCTTCAGGTCGCTCTGACTATAAAAGAATGTAGTCGGACTACTGTGACGTCTGCTCAGGTGTAAAATAGGTGCTTCCTTTTCCTCTTGTGGATTTTTTCAAGATCTTTTCCTGTCCTTTCTCGCTCCCCTTAAAGCTAGAATAGCCTGTCCTTTAAATGAGCAACGCAGGTTCCGAACAAAACTTCAGTCTCCAAGGAGTACAGGGCACGACAAAGACAGTGCTTAAGGATTTTGAAAGTGTGCCTAAACAGACATTTAGTGGCATAGTTTTTCTACATTTGAAAGCTGTCCTTGTAAGAGCAGGTGCACAGAGATGGTATATAGACCCATGGAGTAACTGATGTGTTACTGTGAAGCGAATATGATCGGACTGCAGGGACTTCTTAAAAATTAAGGTGTCCGTTCTGTTAATATCAAAACAATGTTTTTTATGATTGATGTACCTGTGCTCACTGATGTATGCATCTTTAGTATTACTGAATATTAAGGCACATAAAACAGCAACCTCTCCATTCTCGTGAAGATGCTATACAGAGGGCACTGTTTAATAGAGTAGGCTTTGATGCTGAAGAAAAAGGGAGAAATCTCTGATAATCTGGCAGAGACAATTTCTGTGAGAAGTTGACTGCACTTTTGAGGGGGATTTGGCTCAGTTTCCCCTTCAGATCACAACCTACTCAGTCAGAAGAGCTCCCAGCTGTCTGCATAGGATTTTCAGGGCACTGGAGGGGATTCCATAGGAAGGGGCAGTGAAGTCCATTTTTACCTTCTCCATTGGATGTCCTTATGTCTGGATTCAACCCATTAATTTTAATGGAAGACGTATTTATTTATTGAAGGCATTTTTATATCCTTCTTATTTAGTCAATGACTCTCAGGACAGTTTTCAACATACTAAAAATTAAAAGCATTACATATACTGGTAGACAAATTTAAATAATCACAGGATAAAACTAATAAAATATCACATTAATAAGAATAATTCAATATACAATCAGAAATATAATACATTTATAATCTAAATCAATAATTCAAAGGCAAATTAAACAAATAACCCCAGTGGTACATGAAATAAATGAGCTAAAAAGTTCATATTACTGTTAAAATACTGTGAAAAGAAAAAGGGTTGGCCAGACATAGAAAGGTTTAGTGTGGGTGCCAGGTGTACCTCTCTGGAAAGCTAGTTCTACAATTAGGGCACCATAACTGAAAAGGCCCTTCTCCAGATAGTCACCTTCCTTATATCCTTCACAGGAGGCTCCTGGAGAAGGAACTCAGATGATGTCCTTAGGGTCTGGACAGGTGTATATGGCAAGTGTTGGAAGTGTTTCATTCTGTAACTGAAATCAGTAGACCAAGAGGTATTCACTTTGTTTGGATAGTGACTACCACTAATGTGATTTTAAAGTTTACCTATTAATAACCAACTGGTTATCAAGTTTCACATCTGGAATTTAATTAATTGGCTTATATGTTATAAAAAGGTAATTATGAAATGTTGTTGAGAAGTAAAAGTGGTTATGTATTTATATAGTATTTTTATTTCTTGTTGCACTTGCACATGTTGTAAGGAAATCTAGTGGAAAAGTCAATTCTTGTTTATCATTTTGCCAGTTTTTAAATGTAAAGTAACAAAATATCAAAGATAGTGCAATGCAATGCAATGCAGATAGAATTAAATAATGCACTTAGAAAATGAATTTTAAGAATGTATACAAACTGTATCCAATTGTCCTGCCTTGAAGTTGTTTTAATGCTTACATCAGTTCTCCTTTATAAAATAATGCAGAGTGCCATAGATTATAGGTTAAAATTCAGTGTGTTGTAATATATGTCTGGTGAATCAACTTATTTGCAGACTAAGTTCCATTTATCTCAGTGGAACTTGAATTTCAAACTAAATCCTATGCATGCTTGCCATGTGCAGTTCTTTCCGTGCCAGCTGTGAGAGGGGAAAGGGATCTGAGATTGGAGCAATTTTCTGGCATTACACTTGGAATTCATCCCATTCTATGGCTGGCTAGGAGCTAGCTGGTGGCCATAGGACTGTGTTGCCCAATACTTTTTTTAGATTGTTTTTAATTAATTGGGTTAATGAATATTACTTGTACAAGTACTTTCTGGCAGTTGAACGCTTTTCATTTTTCTTTTTTAAATTCATTTATAGCCTGATTTCTGCAAGAATATATAAAAAGTAATTTATACTTATATAAATAAATTAGGGATGAATTTTTATTTGTTTTAATATTGTGACAGAAGGCCCTACCATGTTGTTAGTCAGCTCTGCATAATGAATTTTAAGTGAGTACATCAATAGCTCACAATCTAGTCAGTGGGACTTGGTTATAGTGGCATTTTAAGCTTTACAAAATTGTTTCTGTTTTTCCTAGTACAAGTACAGAGACCTAACAGTTCAGGAGACTGTCAGTGTTATTGTCCAGTACAAAGATCTCAAACCTGTAATGGATAGCTATGGTGAGTTCTTTTTTATGTATTGTGAACTATATAAACTGTCACTTGAATAATATATTTAATTTTTCATATGTTCGCCTGATTTAGAGTGTTTTTGCTGACATTCAGCTATCTTATATCAGTTTCTTATCAATAATTCATATTGCACATAAATATTTTTTATTTTGAAAGAGAAATAAGAGCTCCTAATTACTTGGATTTGAGATGCATTCTTCTGTAAAATGCTGATTACCTTTTTCATTTGGTAAATATTGTCAAAATAACATAGATGTTAAGAAATCATGGTCTTGTTTAGACAATTACTTTCTGTTGAGGTTTTATTTTGAAGGTTCTCGTTATAGCTGAAGCAGTTTTTAAAAACAACTAATTTTCTTGAACTTTATGCATATTGTCATGTAATAATTTATATGACAACATGTATAACAGCTGCATTTGTCTTAGTTCCTTGAATTATACAATGACAATCTGGCTATGTATCCAAAGTGTGTTTGATACATAGGCATTTCACATGTATAGGGCTGTTTATTCTTTTTCTTATTTCTTTTTCTATTATATGGAAAACATTGTGAGAAAGAGTCATCTGAGATAATGTATGCATTTTAACAGTATATGCACAGTTACTGTGAATTGACTATAAAGATGTACATAATGCTTTTTTCTAGTTTTTAATGATGGTACATCAAGAGAATTGATGAGCCTCACTGGAACCATTCCTGTAAGTTACAAAGGTATGTATATGTTTTGGGTAGTTTATGTGTAGATTAAATGAAAATATACACATTTATTATAATCAGTCTAGTTATTGTAATCTCTTCTTAGTGGTAACATTATATTTTTGTGTTCTGTAAAATTGGAGAGACTTCTATATTTTGTCATAATTGCATTTCTTGAATCAGTAAGTGTGATGTAAATAAAACTGAACCATAGACTTAATAAATTCTAAAATAACTTTTAGCACTCAAAGTAATTTAAAATTCTGAGTTTCTTGATAGGGTGGCACTCCAAGACAGAATCGGTTAGGATACTAGATACCTGGTACCAGTCTTTTCTTTCATGCCTTTGTCCAGTTTCGAAAGATAGGGTAAATTTAGGGTAAACAAGTGTATTTTGCATAATAGTGTTTCTCTCAGGTGATATATTAGGCCCCAGCTTGAGCCAGTTCTTAAGATACTGTTAGCTGACTTTGAAGCTCAAAACTAATCCTTTGACTTGCTCCAGGAAACACGTTGATAAAAGGTAGTGTAATATCACTAGCTATATGTTTCTATCTCCTGCTCAATAACATCCTCATTGGCTTGACTTGTACAACCCAGCAGCCAACCATAGCTTGATTTGTCTACATGGGCTGTCACAGCCATCCAGTCTGGTATGACTTGTCAAGCTGTGGAATCCCGAGCAGCAGAGGTTGTTTGAGGATTAGGCAATTTGCAGGTAGCACAAAGCTTGTTTTAGGGTTAGTTGAGGTTTGTCAAATCTCTAGATTTTCCCTTCCCTTTCTAGATTACAGGTATCTGCTGTAACATAACACCCACTGTGGATTAATAAGCTACAGTGGGCTGTTGTATTGTGCGGGCCATAAAATACCTTATAAAGGCCAGCATGTCAAGGACAGACTGGGTGTTACCAGCATCCAAAGGACAAGTTGGTTCAAGGCCCTTCTAGTCATGGCAATCTCTTTACTATGATTTTACATAGTAAAATCATCAATCAGCTTAAACTTGATTGAGTTGGAATGCAGCTTTACCCAAAATAGGCTGGGTGGCTAGTCTGAAATTACTTGAACTCCCATCCATCCTCTATCTTATGCTTCAGTTTGTTTACCTTCATCCTTTCCTGAACTGACGCCCCCCAGTAAATCACTGTAGCTCACAGTTTAATAGTCAGGTGAGGACAAAAGGAATCACTTTGTGCAGTCTGTGCAATGTATTACCATGTTCCGTGAAAGCCACTCATGTGGATAGTACTGAAATATATAAGACAAAATCATGGAGTATAGATCTAATGGTTATTGGTCAGGATTTTTAAGTACATTATATGCAATGCAACTTTGAGTAATGCAGCCTTTGAATTTATGAGGTGGCTGTTGTCACATATGGCTTGTGAGTTTCCAAGGGCAACAAGGTGGTGATTGTTAGAAGTAGTATGCTCTCAGATGTACTTTGGTCAAATGAAGACTGTCAGCTTGCATTTATTAATTATTATGCATTAGAAAAGTTGCAGCAAGTAACAGCGTTATCATATGTTGCCAAAGGAAAACTTAATGTATTCATTATGCTTTTTAAAACCTTTTCAGGTAACACATACAATATCCCAATATGTCTGTGGCTATTGGATACATATCCATTCAACCCTCCAATTTGTTTTGTTAAACCCACTAGTACAATGACAATTAAAACTGGGAAACATGTTGATGCAAATGGCAAGATATATCTTCCTTATCTCCATGAATGGAAACATGTAAGTACCATTTTAAAAATGTTAACATAAGTCCTGAATCATTTCCCCATTTAACTAACATTTTATTTAAGTCTTTGTTTTCATCCTCGGCTCTTTGATACAACAGAAAGATGTGGCCTTGCAGATCGGAGGCCTCTACTGAGAAAAATATTAGCAATCTTAAACAGTGCTAATAATGTTAATACTTTTCTCATGCTTGCACTGCTGTTATAGATTCACTACTGAAGTAAATTCTACCACAGAGTATATTTTCAGTCATTGCCATTGTCTATAATTGGTCTAGGTTATTGACCAGGGCTCACATTCTCACCAGCACTTTACCAGTGATATGTTGCCCTTTTAATTCTTAATTGTTTGTTCCTGATAACTGAATTGGTATAAACTAGACCAAGATCTATAAATAGTAGGAAAGAGCTGACACTCAGTAACTGACTAGGTAATGCATCTATTGTCATTGTTAATGGACAGCTATGCTGTCTTTGTAGGAGAAAAAAAATCAACTCTCTCTTCTTTTTTAACTCTAGCCGCTATCAGATTTGATAGGATTGATTCAAGTTATGATTGTGGTGTTTGGAGAGGAACCTCCAGTATTTTCTCGGCCTACCATTTCAGCACCCTACCCATCTTACCAGGCAACAGGACCACCTAACAGTAAGCAACTTCTAGTACTTACACATGCAAATGAGTAACAATGAGAACGAGCATACAGATGTTTAATTGAAAGCTTCCAGTTATTGTGGCATGTGTCTGTGCTAACTTCTGAAAGTATGGTTCTTCGTCGTGGCCTCTGTGCATCACACACATGGGTGCTGCGCTTGCGCAGTGCCTAGGCCAGAAGTTAAGGGTGTCAACAACAACAACAATACAATTTCTGTGCTCTCCTGGTACTCCTACAGGCTGGTGTCTTTCAAAGTTGTGTAGTGCAGAACTTCAGAGAACTTAACAGCAGAAGGTGTAGAACTGATTCTGTATACCAAGAGCCAGTGTGGTGTAGTGGTTAAGAGCATGGGACTGGGACTCAGACGAACTGGGTTCTAGTCCCCACTCAGCCATGGAGCCAACTGGGTGACTTTGGGCCAGTCACAGACTCTCTGCCCAACCTACCTCACAGGGTGGTTGTTGTGGGGAGAAGATGGAGGAGGAGAGATGATGTAAGCTGCCTTGAGCCCTTTGTAGGAAAAAGGCAGGATAGAAATCAATCAATCAATCAATCAATAAAAATCGTTCCAGATATAGAACACAGACTATACGATCTGTTGCAATTAAGCAGCCAATTAGAATGTACTGTCTAGGGTTCCTTTGAGTGGAACTCTTTTCATGGGATAAACCTCCTGGAGGAAAGAAGCAATTTCTGCAGTTCCTTCTTTCCCCTATGGCCCCCTCCCTCCTCTCCTGAAGACTGCTCCAGGGGATTGTGAGAATAGCTTGGGCAATGTTCTTGGGAGATACAGTGGAAAGGGGGAACTGGAGAATATCTCATTACCTCCTTCCTGCCATGAAATTTGCTGCTGAATCTCAGTCTCTTCTGTGAACAGAAGGAGCCCTTTCATTCATGTCATTAGTAAGCGGAGAAGAGATAAGTTGTAGTACACAATGGCATCAGAACAGCAAACATGTTTGCGAAAAGACTTGTAGGTGAAGAAGTGAGGCTTTTCCATTCCCTTCACTCATAAATGTCCCCCAACCTCATTCCATTTTCTTGAACTTTCCTGTTCCCTAATTGTTGTGTGTCTCTCCCCCCCACCCCTTGCATAGAATAGTTCAGATTCCCAGCTCCAGTCCACTGCACTTCCCAGCGGGTGTGAAAAGAACTAGGTGGGCTGCTTTCTGAGATTGGAAAAGCAGCCTTGGAAAGATCAGAGGTTGGTAATCGGGAAGAGGTGAGAAGACTGGGGCAGCAAGAATACAAGGTACTTGAGGGTGCAAAGCCTCCCCCTCTGCAGAGAATAGCCATTTAGCAAAAATGCAGCATGGGAAGAGCAGGGAGACAAAGGATGCTTATGCTGCCCTTCCGCCTCTGTACTGGATGCCCGTAGCCCTCTGTGTTTGAAGACTGTGATCATTTTAGAGGATTGTGCCTTAAGTGCATACATTTTTGTCATTTAAATTGCATATTTTTAGACTGCTTTTTGGGGTAAAAAACCCTCTGAAGATGGTTTCATAACAGAATCCTGTGCACTTTTACTCAAAAGTAAACCTGCCCTGATTATTATTATTGACAGTTACAGACCTCCGGAGCTAGTGACCTTGGATATGCCATATGAGTTAAAACTGTCATATAAAAATTGTAAGAGTGATTGTATATAGAATTTTTTTAAAGATAGGAGACATGCTCTAATGCAATAAACAACCTGCTGATAAATAATAATAGAAAGATACTTTTTTACTCTTGTAGTTGAATATACTATTGGGATAGGTAATTTGCTCTCAGTGATTATCTAAAAGACAAACTCTTTTTAACAATACTTATTGCATGTGCTTGAGAAGATAAGTGAAAAAAACCCCCAATATTAGAGGTTGCTATTTTGAGATTAATATGATGAAGAAAATCAGGGTTGGTGATGACTTTCTGACTGAGGTCAGGAACTAAACTTAATTAACACTTAAGGACTCCTACAGTACAAGAATTTACTTTGATTGTGAGGAAAAGGTGTTTTGATAGCTGTTCATGTTTTTAATACATTTTCCTGTATAAAGCTTTCTCCTGCCTTTCCTCCAAGCAGCCCAAGATGGCATGTGCAAAATCTTCCTCCCAGCCATTTTTCTTCACAGCATTCCTGTGGACTGGGTTAGGTAGAGTCCGTGGCTTGGCCGAGTAAGCTTCATGGCTGAGTGAGGGATAGAACTATGGTTTCCAAAAGCCCCGTCCAACACCAACTGTTGCAGCATACTTGCTCCCATAAGGGTTTACTAAATTATCATACTGAAATCTGCTCTATAGCACAAAAATCTGTCAGTGGCAGATCTGCCTTGTTAAAAATTTGAGGATAGTTTAATTTCACTTTCTTTCAGACCTTGCAAAAGTTATTTCCATTACTTTTTTTTAACAGCAACAGAGATCAAGTGAGAGAATTATCTCTGCCAGTAGGTGTCAGTCAAGTATAGTTGAATCTCCAGCTTTACCCCCTGAAGTGCTTGTGAGCGTGAAAGTAATGCAAACTATAGAAGGCTTTCTTTGCTTTTAGAGGAAACATCCAAAAGCCATAGGACAATGTTTTTATTATAATCAAGTAGGGAGAAGCTCTCAGGGTCTCTAAAGCCACCAGCTGGAGGTTAAGGAAAAGGGGTTAGTATAGTGAGAGAGAAAGCTGTGCATAATGGGAAAGCCCTGAACCACAATTTATCACAAGGTGGAGGTAACATGTAAACTTAAGGTGTCTCCTCCAGCTCCCAACCACCACCACTGCCGGCCGCCACACATTCAGGTGGTTTTTCAAAGCAGCAGAGGGAGCTTACATGATGGAGGAAGGGATGGGAAAGGAGTTAAGGAGACTTCTCCTTAGTTAAGGAGATTTCAGGTTGCGTGACACTGGATCCAACTTTTTTAGCCTTTCAAGCAGTCTTATTTGGATAGATTGGCAGTAAATAGTTAATTCAAATATGTCAAGATTTTGCTTCATTTTAATCAAGTTCTGTTCATAAATCCATTTTGAATAAAGGAATCCACTTCTGTGGTTGCATACACTTGGAGAAAGGGAGTAAAGAGCACTTTGCCAGTTTGTGTGGACAAAAACAAAGCATGGTAAGCAAAGGATAATAAAGTTAGGATCTGCTGGGGCCAGATGGGAAGACTCTAGGAACTCTTGAGTCCCTGGATTACTGGTTGCTTAGTCTGAAGGCAGGGTATTAAAAATACATGTTTTCATTTGCTTAAATGTGGGTTATTAAAAGTCAATTTTAAGACTGCAGAAGTTATTAAAAGTGCTTAGTTCTAAAAACTAGATTTCACTATTAATGACCAACACTATTCTAAATTGTTAAAATGTCCAAAATTTTTGTTGTGCTCAGCTTCCTACATGCCAGGTTTGCCAAGTGGGATGTCTCCTTTCCCTCCTGGACCCCTTGCTAACCCAAGGTATGGCTATTTAAATCTATTTCTGCAGTAGAACATCTGTCAGTGATGGGAGTATGCTGTGTTGCGTTTTGGGCCCAGTTTGGATACAGCATTCAGTGCCATTGCAGCGGGAGTGTCTAAAGAAACCTTAGACTTTCTGTCTGTGATCATCTTATCATTGTGCAGATAAGGAATCTTGCCTTGTCTCTCCCTCAAAAGCTGGAGTCATAAGTCAGTAACAAACTGGATTATGACTCTGGTTTATTGGTGAACAGATGAACCAGTTCATCTACCATTTCCAGATCTCCATATGCTAGGTCTGAAAGGGAAACATTAGCCTGAAGGTGTGGGAGTTCCCCCATTTAGCCTGCAGAGACTTGTTCTCCCTGCACAGCTAGGCTTGCGAGCTTAAGCCTGTGGTGAGGTAATGTTGAAGCAGAGCCAAGCCAAGCCAGTTTTTTCACCACTGGAAGGAAGCATGGGGTGGACAAAGCCAACCCAACTGTCTTACAGGTGGACTATCCATCTGATGCTTCAACTGGAATGACGTTGCTGCATGTAATATTTCCTAACTGGGGAGAGCCTATATGCAGCAAAGCACTGGGTAGACCTAGCATATATTTGTTGAGGACCAAATTATATCAGGGCTATGGTCCCGTCCCTAGATATTATTTGTCCCATGGGAGGCCAGATGAGAGATTCATTTGACCCTGCACCACACTCTGGTTCCCACCCCTGTCCTATGCCTCTAGATCTTTTGGCATGCAGCTCCCATCAGCTCTAGCCAGTACTTCTAGTGGTGAGGAATTGTAAACACAAACATCTTTTGCTTATCCCCTGTCTGTGTGATTGGTCACCCATCCAGCATGTTGGCAGTTTCATGGGAGAGTCAGCAGTAGAGAAGAAAGAAGGTGCCGGGTGACATGCAAAACCCTACCTCCTTCTCTGTGCATAGAGGCTATTCTTCTGGGCTAAGAACTACTTCTGTTGGATTGCTTACTTTGTACCTTTTAGCTATTGACTAGTGGCAGTAGAGTGAAACAACTGTTAGGTTTGTTTGCAGATGGCATAGACTTGTGTGCCACAAATCCCACATGTGTAAATTTTGCCTTCCTTTTTTAAATGTCCTGTGGCATGTTTGCCTGCACTTTCCTTCTGTTGAGTGCTTAGTAATTCATATCTGCCCTCACCTTACACTTTGTAGTCTGTGTTGATAATTGGTGCAATGAACTGCAACTAGCAGGAACTACGAAGTATGTGAAGCTAACTATACATTCTTGAAATTTAATGAGAATTCGGTATTTTTATGATGACAGCAAACTTTCATTGACTTAGATTTCATGCTGATAAATTTATCTTCATCAGCTGGCTTTATTTTTCCAATTCTGGTTTTTTTAAAAATTCTAAACTGTTGAAATAAAACAAGATTGCTTATTGTTATATAATAAATAAGTAACAGAGGTTTTTCTTTCCTTTCTTCTTTCAAGCGGTTTCCCAAACTATCCTTACCCTCCCCCGAGTGGACAATTTCCAGCAACAACTAGCACGCCACTCTACCCTTCTCAGCCTCCTGTAACTACTGTGGGTGAGTAACTTCATGTCAAAGGTAGAGGATAATCTTTCTTACAATAAATATGCAGCAAATGGTGTGTTTCTGAGAAGGTCTTTCATTTTATTACAGTCAGGAGAAGTAAAATATTATAGTAAAAACATTGTTTGATTATGCTTTAGCTGCATATGTTGTAGGTGTTTTTCCTCCCTCATTTGATCTATAGGTCAACTTTTAACTACATTTGCTTTTTCACTCTTCAAGAGACTTCATTTTTATTCAATGGCTCTCCATAAGGAAATTCATATGCATTTGAAAGTATGATGCTTGAAGGTCCAAAATGAATTCAAGCCAGAAAGCAATTTGAAAAATCCTGCATAGACTTCTGTTCTCTAATCTCTTTATTCCAATGGGCTGATCTTGTAATTAAAAATCTTTAGAAGATGAGAGACTGTTTAGCCGCACTACTAAACACAGGAGGAACTTGAAGAAAATGAATATGCGGACACAAGAGCAAAGTGGCAAAGCCAAGTGGTGATACTACAACCTATTTATGAACCTTTTGCTGAGTCAGCTGACGATGGTGAACAATAACTGCAGATGAAGTGAACTGAAGATCTTGATCACTGCTGAAAATCTGTTTTGAGCATGGAATTAAGTGGAATTGGACTAGCTGACTCCTGATATGTACTCCACTACACTATCAGACTGCCATTTCAGCACTTTTAACATATGCGTGATGCAAGTATCGAAATATCATTACAAAAATAGCATGGAATCAACAACCGTCGTGGACAGATATCTTTATAAACATTTTGGGTTTTATCCAAAGTTTGTTTATATGTAAGCTAAGGATGCAGGTCAGAAGCTATCATTTCCTTTTGTTTTTAGAGAGGATCTTGGGAATTGAGAGATTTACTCATCTGGACTAAGTACTGTAAACTATTCACAGTCCTTTTCATGAAAAGAGTCCTAAACATTAGAAAGCGATGGCCAAGGTGTACTTCCAAAGACAGTGGTAGATGTCTTTGCTTCCAGCAGATATAGTTAATAAGCTAAAACTACACAACATACAACAAATCATTAGAAAGCAAATATTATTTAGGCCAGAGCAGAATGCAGGAAAAGCTTCCCTTCCTGTTGTTGTTTGAATGCCACACTGTATATTTGAGCTGCAAAAAATTTCAATTTCATTAAAATGCAAGAATTATTGGAGAATTTTTAAAAAAGTAATCTAGTTTTGGATATCTGCAGTGTTGTTTGGATTTAAATTGTTGTTTGTCTAAAGTTAGTAACAGGCAGTCTCTGTACTGTAGACTTTCTAGAATTTTATTTGGGAAAATAATTTAAAAGTTGAGGTGTAATATGGCAACAAAAATAGTGACTCCTTAGGAAAAGCGGAGAAATAGATGCACACACATTTAATTTACATGCCGAATTAAATAAAAAATCCTTCTGCTTGCAATGATTTTGCAACTATTCCATACCATTCCTGATGAGCTATATTGCTACTCAGATTTAATGGTCTCAGCTTTCTATGCTGGTTGGGCTACTTGAAAAGCACGGATTTTCTTTTACCTATTTCTCTTGACCTTTTGTTAGTTTTTGGAACACTCTGGAAGACTGTGGCACTCTGTCACCTGTCACTCTGAATGGAAAGTTTTCTTGTCTTAAATGTTCTATCAAGATCTCAAGCTGTGTTAGCACCTCCATCTGGCAAAGTTGCTCTTCTGAAATCAGTCAAAAGGAGATACAGATGTGGATTTCTTTCCATTGGTCTTACAACTTGGATATAGGTATTTTTACCTGTAAACTTCATACACCAGCACATTGCAGAGGTTTTGAAAGCATATTCAGATCGAGTTGGCCCTATGGATCATTAAGCCATACGTTTTGGCATAGAGACATCGGTCTTATGCTCTTATTTTGTTTTTACATGGAATAATACAGAATAAAACTACCTGGGTAAACTTTTCAGAAAGTGCTTGGGCCACAAAGTTTATGAAGCATTAATGTATGTTTGTTCTCTTAATAGCAGATGGCAGAAGAAAGCAGAAACAGGTATGGATTTGTGGTCATTCTTATGTTTTCTGGGCAGAAAAACGGGCACTTGAAAGAAGCTTTGGCACACAGTTGGGCATTCGACTGGATGATGCCAAATTACACTGGCTAGGAAAGAGTGGCATGACATGGGATCAGTTAATACCCACCCTGTTGCATACACGACGGCGCCTAACAGATCCTGATGTGCTGGTGATCCATCTAGGAGGAAATGACCTGGGAACAGACAGAAATGTGGATATAATAAACCAAATGAAGAAAGATTTAGGACATCTTAAACAAATATTCAAGAATACCATTTTGGTCTGGTCTAATATTGTGCCTCGCAAAGTATGGAACCAAGACGTGCCTCACAGAGTGATGGAGAAATGTAGGAAAAAAGTCAATCAGGAAATTGGCTGTTTTATAGAGTATATCGGTGGGACTGTGATCAGACATGATTCACTTGTACCAGAGTCTCCTGGATTGTTCCATCTAGATGGTGTCCTCTTGTCTGAAAGTGGCACAGATATCTTCAATCTTGATTTACTGAGTGCTTTGGAAACTCTCATCTGACTTTTGCTTAAGAAGTACAATCACAGCAGCGTTCAGTATCATCAAGTGTGGCAGCACTTTGCGGATAGAGATCACTAGAAGATGATAGACATTGTGTTAAAATGGAATTTACTGGTAGTGGAATTGCCCTGTTAGTATGGTGATTGGTAATTCAGTTGCCTGTGGCATTGGCCTGCAACCACTACAGCAAGTCATTTGCTCCTATATTTAGTTGTTTTTAAAGTTCAGTTCAGGTTTTTTTGCTTTGAATTCAATTTAATGTTTGCTTAAAGACACTGGTAAACAGTTTACTCCCTGGTTGATTTTTCACATCCTAAAATACTCAGGGAAATACAGAAATGATACCAATCTAGAGTAATAACTTATAATAACTTATAAAGCTGTTTTGCATGCATAGCATCAGCAGTCATAATTGCTGGCATTTAATATTACACTTTAGTACTTCAGAATTACATAACTTTGAAAGACATGAGGCTGACTTAGGTATGGTAGGCAAGTTGGTTGAAATGCTAGGCTTCTTTTGTTACAGAATTCTGAAAATACACCATTAGTTAAGTTTGTTTAACCACTCTGCTTCGCAAGTTCTTACCAATATACCTGGTCCATTTCACATTCCTGGGTTAATAATAAATTATAGTTTATTAAGTCAAGAAGAAATATTGGGTCCATACACCTAATATTGGGTCCTTTGCCCCTCTCTACTTTGCTTCTTTTTGAACTTTGATCCTGGTCTAAATCACAGGCACTTTTTGGTTATGCCTGAAATGGAGAGCTGTGATTTAATATCGGTTTACGAATCAGAATCAATCCTGGTTAGTAAACCAATATTAAGCAATAGTTCCCAGTTTCAAACAGAACAAGAAACAGTGACTGAAAGAAACCAGGATTTAAGTGTCAAAAGCAGTATGTAAAAAGATGTAGGGTGCATGGGCCTAGTTCTTGTGCCTGGCTTACCCCTGTTTACTAAGACAGCAATACAAGTCTGAACTTGTATTTAAGCCATTGTTGTTTAATGCAACAATTAATATTAAATGTGCTTATAAAAGAGATCTACTCTTATGTTTAACATTGTGTGCAATCCTATGCATGTTTAAACAAAAGAAAGTCCCGGCATTTCCAGTTGCAGAAAGACCCAGCATTTCTCAGCCATCCCTAGTGGGTGGGGAATGTTGGGGCTTGTAGTACTTTTTTCTGTCTAAACATGTGTGCTTAATCAGTTTGTGTAAATTTAGATGCTGATAATTTAAAATATTAATCTAGATGGTCCCACTGAGAAACTGTGCATGCGGAATTTTATTATATGGACCATCCCATTCATTTCAGTAGTAGGAATACATCCACACATTCATTTCCGTGATAAGATCCAGATCCATAGAAAAACGTAATTGTGGAGCTGCTTTATTCACTGAAACACATGAAGTTATTTCTGGAGAGGGAGCCTTTAAGCCCCTCTTGGACCTCTTGTGCTTGGCACAGCATTCTGTGTTGCATGATAGACTTAAATGTTGAATGTTCCCATATCATGCAGTACATCTTTTGTAAATCTTTATACAGCAATTATGGCACTTGTAAGGGATTTTGTCATTTTAAATGGCAGACACTGTTGTTATGACTTTTATCATCCCAGATTAACACACCGTGTACACTTCTGAGATCTTGTTTGTAGAGTAGCTGTAGCAGTTGCAAAGGCGGCAGAGATAGCTAGGGTTTTTGAAGAATGTTTTAAAGATAGTATTCCTGTCAAAGGTGAAGGTATTCTTGTGAAATCTGTTTAAAATGGCATGCATTTTAATGATCTACTTGCCATCAAGCTGTTAAACTGTTTGACGGTGTCTCTAAGATAGTTGTACCATTTTTTTTTCATTTGGGATTGCTTTGTCACCTTTTCCTAGCAAAAGGCAGTTCTGTATCAGAATCTGCATTTAAGTATAATGTAATAGAACTACAATTTTTCATAATTTTTGGTAGGCATAAATGACAATAAATAAATACAGGGAATTGATTGCACATTTATTTTAAACTTTGTCATGTAGTTAACAGTTCTTCAGATGAGTATGCTGTAAAGGAAGTTGCACAAGGCAATGTTTTTGGTCTTCAGGTTGTGATTTCCAAAAGAACTGATTTTATATAGTACTGTGCCTTAACATTCCTTTCATAAGCAAGAGAGAGCTTAACTTCAACAGCTTATTTTTCTCTGAATCTAAGTCACTGTTCCGAAGAACTTTAGTTGATTCTTCACAGTCATGTCTTTAAATGACCAAACTTTCCAAATCTGCTAAGCTTCTTGGAGGTGGACTTTGGAAGCTACAGTTCAGCACAGACAAGAACTGGAATGTGGGACTATGGGAATAGAATGGTAGAAGATGGATGAATGCTACATCTACTAGAAATGAGCTTCAGTGCGACTTTAAGATGAAGACCTTCAAGCTGATTATTTGTATGTAACTTCTCTGCCTCTGAAGCATTCTACCAGGATGAAGAAAATGATATAGCCATTGGGAGGGACTAAGATGAAAATCTTCATATCTGTGGAGTGATCCAGCTCTTTCCAGTGAGGACATACCAATGCTTATTAGTGCTCACAACAGACTACATTTTCTGTACTCATTTGTAGTAGGGCCTTTAAGTTCCAATATTTTGGCAGGACCTGCTATTTTTCTACTTTATTTATGGTGGAGAATGTTGTTTGATTCATCTAATTTGTATGACTTGGAGATTTGTGTTTTAAAAATAAAATATGGGTCTTTATTTTCTAGTCCTTATGTGTTATATTAGTGAGGACATAATTCTGGTTGATATTAGTTATTTTGCTTAAAAAAAACTTCTTGAAGAAAGATTTTTTTCAGGCTGCTAACCGTGCTGTGCTGAAATGTCACTCAGTCTGCTATTAGACATGCCAGATTTGTAATACTTTCCCTAACCTTTATTTAGGATACATAAAAATAATGCAGCCATACTTAATATTATTAAAATTAACTGGTAATAGCCATTGGTCATTATTTACCCCAATGGCTGAATCCAAGCCATTGGTCATTGAGTGCATATAATGGCTTGGATTCAGATTTTCTCTTGTGTGAATGGAAATAACATTCCACTTTTGTAAGGCAGCCTCCTGATATACATCTCACACTGTTCTGGGGGGTTCCCTTATACTTAGGCACTGGAGGGATACAACAGAGTCTAGTGAAAAAGGAGTAGGAAAATCCTGTTGTACTCATGTAGTTCAGCTTGAACATTTTCAGATGTAAGCTACTTGTTTTGTTATACACATCAAAATTAGAGAAGCAGTAAGCACTACTGTTGAGTATTAAGTGCAATTACTCATCACCAAGATGTACTATTGGAAATCGCTGAAACAAAGTGCATTGTGCATTTGTGAATAAGCAACCGCAATGGTCAATGTAAAGTTTGCTTTTATATTTTATATTGTTAGCTAATAGCTTTTCCCTTGTTCACCATTTTGACTTGCCAAGATGGTCTTCCAAGACCTTAGTTCTTGCTGGAATATTCAAGTTTCTGGTGACACTTGTATACAGTGCTGTACATGGTAACATCTTCCACAGGATGTCTTGGTTTGCAGACTTCTGTTTAACCTGTGGGGTAAGTATCACTTTTATGTAGCTGAAATAGAATCGCCTTCAAATTCTAAGAACATCAGTAAGCTTTAAGGTGAATTATTTAGATAAAAACCATATTGGTATTGCAAGTTAATTGCTGATGCTAATATGGGCAAGGTTCCAAACTGGGAAGCCATGTTCCCTTGTTCCTCATGAGCTTGCATTTTGGTTAGTCCAGCAAGCTTTGGTTGCTGCCACTAAAAGGATGGAGTCAAAATGAGGGCTCATGGCTCAGTTGTAGAGTATGTGCTTTCTGTGCAGAATGTCTTGGGTTCAGTTCCTGCAATTCCAAGTTAAAAGGATCAGGTAACAGGGAAAGACCTTTGCCTGAGACCCTGGAAAGGAGCTGTTAGTTCACAGTAGACAGTACTGGACTGGTCATGGGTTCCATATTTGGGCAGAAGCTCTTTTATGATACTTTGAGAGTTTGCCTGTGAAATAATGGAAATATCTCAGTGATACCTATTATTGTCCCCCTAGGGCTAATCATGCTCTTTAGAATTAAGTCTCATGAAATAAGCACCTTTAGCACTTACAGTTAGTACAGAGTTGATCTTTAATGTACCATTCTGACATAAAGTTGTGGTGTGGCAGGTTTCAACCTTAGGTGCCTCTTGAAAGTATCACTGCTTATTCTCCTATCTTTTCTGTTGTCTGTTCTAGATTAAAATTTCTGTTTATTGAAATTTAATCTGAATATATAGAAAAAAGGAAATTGCAGTTACATCCAGAAAGACTTTGTTAGGTTTTGTTAGCCTAGTCTCCTCAAACATGGTGCCGTTTAGATGTTGTGGACCACTGTTCTCATTTGCCTGTGGCAGATGGGAGTTAAAGTGCACAATATCTGGAGGACAGCACGTTGGGGAATTTTGTGTTTAGTTTGTGCTTTATGTTGTATTTTTTGTCTTTAGAATAAGACTTAAGATGACGTTATGTTATTCTGAAACTAGATTAAGTATTTTGCATCTTTGATTAACGTGTGCAGGAGATGAGTGTTTGTGATCGCTTGAGTTCTGTTTTGTTCTGTTTAGCCTATAGGATAAGAGAGCATAGAAGCAAAGAAATGGAAGAGCTCTTAAGTATATCATCAGCAAAGAATAATTTGTAGTCTTAGGGATATTTAGAGCAAATACAGGCTGCAAATCCTGTACACAAAAGATATTCAGAATCCATCACCTTATGGCATTTTAGGCTTAAGCCATACTGTCAAGGAGCAAGAGCATTTCAATCCAGAGCAGTCTTAGTTAAAGGATAGATAATTTGGACTGATGTAAAGTTTATTTCCTTTACATTTTTATTCTCAGAAAGAAGGGCTTATTACTTCAAGAAAATAAACCAAGTAATTTATTAAGGTATTAACCTCAAGGTGTTCAATACTGCAGTCTTAATGCATATTCAGATGGAAAATATTCTATAGTCCCAGCGTTCCCTAGCCAACTGAGGAATGCTGGGAATTGTAGAACCTTTTCTGTCTGAACATGCATAGGATTGCATAATTGAGTTTTTGTGGGTAACACTTTATCTGAACAAAATTGCTGATCTGCTCTAAAGGGCTGGTGTGCAGCATTGTTTGAAAAAGTGAAAATTGCAGACTCACCATTGGGGCCCTGTATTGGGGGGCCTATTCAAATCAAATGATTCTTCTTAAATTGCCTCTCTGTTCAGGCAAATCTGGCACAACTAAGCCGATTTGATCTATGTAAACTTCCACATCCTAATGTTAATACTTTGTTTGGTGTCATCCCACTACCAATAATTAAGATTCACTGCTGGGTTATAACAGCAATGCACAATCTCTTTTGAAAGTTATATACAATATTTCACATAATAGTTATTTCTTAGTGACAAAGATTTTTTTAAAAATCAGCTGCTTCCACTGCCAAATCCAGCCTTGGCTTTTCCTTCTGATTCAACTGCTACCCTGCAGTACTGTAAGGTCATTTCTGAAACCAGACTCTTTATGGCAAAGGTTAAATATCTTGAGTGCTAACTGGAATAAATGGCTATGTGCCATTAAATTGCCTCAAAGGGTGTCTAATTATGGAAGTGATAGAAAATGTTAAGGGTTCATGCTCTTGAAGGAGCTCTGTAAACCATTATCGTTTCCCTATATGAGTATGTGGTGATAACTTTCCTTAGTCTTTGCACTTTTACAATCCATTTGCACACACATAATATTTCTGATGTGTTCTTGCTTTAAGTTGTGGACAGAGCCTTCAATAAGTAAGCAGTTTTGTCCAAGAATGTGTAACTGGTTCTAAGTTTTGAGTATTTGTAGTGTACACTATTTATGTTATATGTGATTGCAGAAAAAACTTAGAACCCATATCTCTACAGTATTTTGTTTTGTGTATTGGCTTTTTGGGAGCATCTTTTGGGTTGTGATATCTCTATTTTGAACAATAGTTGACTGCTTTAACATGTGGAACAGCTAACTTGCTTGGGCTGTGTGCATTTGTTTTGCTATTTGTGTATACTGTATTCTAAAAGCTTTTCTGTAGGCCCATCTTTTTCTCTTGCACACTGGCTTGGTTCACACAAACAACCCAACAACAAACCATTGATTTTCTTCATGGTTAGCAAACCATGGTTTATTAGGTTCAAATATCCTGACAAGCCATGATTCGAGAATAACCCATACTAACCCCAACTCAACCCTGAGTGTGAATTATCATGTTGTGTGCACCTAGTCAGTGTAATCTTGGATTGCATGCTTACAAATAGGTGCCTTGAGTAAGGTGCAAGTTCTGTGAGAATACAAGCAGATTCCTGTTTTCTTGTATTTAGTTGCATTTTGTTTTAATCCAGTGCTTCTTGAACTATTGCCTTTAGAAGTGGGAGGAGCATAGACAGCCTCATGTTAGACACATTGGAGAGAAGCCACAGCTATGTTCCTGCTTCAGAAGCTTGCCAGAAATCATATTGATGAAATATCCATAATAAATAGAGAAAGCATATTATTGACCCTGGCTAGTCAAACCAACCACTTGTGCTGTTTTATTCCTTTGATTAATGAGGCAGGAGACGGAATGGACCAGAGGAAACTTTCAGAAGGACCAGAGGATTAACAAAATATTTTAAGTCACTTTTTGAAAGTGTCTTCACGCTTTTGGTACTTAGAAGTCTTTATATGGAATATAAAATGTTTAATCAACACAACAATAAAATGAAATTCTTTAAGAACAAGTTTGAAAAAGGAGCAATAGTTTCAGAACACAGACTTTGGATCTTGAAAATGTTAAGTAATTCACAGGAAAATGTCACAACTTAGGGCTAATTTCCATAGCAAGCACTGCAGTGTATAACTTTTGAAGTAGATAAAAACACAATATCTGGATGGAACATGACTCATCAGAGCTGCAGTCTCTACAGTAACTTGGCATGCTGCTCTCAGTATAACTTAAGGTGTGAAACATTCGTGTCTTTTAAAGGCAATGTGCAAGGCTTCTCTGCTCTTCCTACTGGAAACAGCATTTTAGTTTTGTATTCATATGATTTCCTGATTTAAATAGTAGTAAGGGAGCAAAATTTGGATAGTAATCTTCAGTGACCAAAAAGATTCCAGCTTTCTGTGCTAAGTGGCTCAGAAATTGCTAAAAATAATTGTACAAATACTGGTTATCATCATCATGTTTAGTAAATCCACAAAGGGCCATTGCTCTTAATGAATTTTACACATCTGCTGCTGCCCAGTCTAAAGCCTTGGTTTGAGAAGGGTAATGGGCCAACTGTGTGCTAATATATTATAATATATAAAAGAAACATCAGAAATTCACAGAATATCCATCCTAAGCCTAGTAGAATACTTGTTTTAAATTACCCATTTTTCCTGTCATGTAGAAACTATGCAAGTATTATTCTGTTAAAGGAATTTTCATTACATTTTCCTGACAGTTAAATCAGTCGAGAGGAATTAAAATGTTGTATCTTGATTTACATGAACACATTTGCTTAGATCACCAATCACTCTTATGTCACTTTGGCTAACTAAAACCGGCTATATTAATGCTGCTAATGCACTTTTTTATCCACAGTTTGCAGTTCACACAAACCATGTGAGACTATATTTTTCCTATATACAGTGTTACAAAGTGATGACCTTAACTCTTCCCATCACATTCACTGACAAAAGGTAGATATATTAGAAAATGTAATGAGTACTATGTACCATTTTGCCCTCGGTCTTTGCAGTTTTGAAAGCCTAATAGTTTGAGCAGCAGTTGATGCTTACAAAACTTCCATAATACTTTTTTTAAATGCTAAGAGAACATAGAATTAAATATCCTGGCTGTCATCTAAATTTTAAATCTGACTTGTGTTTCTCATTTTCTAGTCACACTAACATTTAAGTAAACATTTTAACTCCAAATTCAATGTTTATATTTAATGGGAAGAATGAATAGTCTGTCTAAAAATGCTTCATTAGCTAGTCTTTGTTCTACAGATGCTGATCCATGCTCATCACTTTCATATTGGAGCTTAAATAAATTCCTTATAAATACTTTATTTGGATGAGCATCATAAATTGTATGCTTCTAGCATTAAGTGCCAAACAAAGCTTGCTTATTTCCTTTTTTTTTTTTTTTTTTAATTTTTTTTTTTTTTTGAGTTATAAATTTTTTTTTTTTTTAAATTTTTTTATAAAAAAATTTTTTTTTTTTTTTTTTTTTTTTTTTTTTTGCACATGTTCATTCTTCAGAGTAATACATGTACTTTAAGCTTAAAGGGTTACATGAAAAAACATTACTTATCAGAATATGAAAGGGAAGATATTTCTCTGTGGGTTAAGCATATTTTTTCAGTATATTTCTGGATGGGATGCAACCTAGAACCCTCTGTTCTGTAAGAATGTCTTATTATTGTTTTTGTTGCAATTTTAATATAATGGAAACGTAATACTGTCAATGTTTGGAGACTTTTGGGGGCAGAAATCTATTAGAAGAAGCTCTGGAATAAAACATTTCCATGTTAAATCAGCAATGTGCAGAATTCTGAGGTATGCCAATGTTTTTGTATTAAAAGAATGTTTAGTTTAATTGACTTAATTTGTTATTCAGAAGGATTTTTCCTTGTTGGCCACCAGTTCTCAGTGCTTTTTATATATGCCAACCATATATATTTTCAAGAGAAGAGCAGAGAGAATTTAGGGAGCAATGATCAACTCAGTAGACATTAACTTAGGACTATGAATTCCAACTGAACAGAAGTCCAAGAACCAGATGAACAACAGGAAAAAGAATGAATAAGAATTAATTGGTGTATGCTGAAATTGGTACGTGGACGTGAAATGCATGGAAATGAACCTAAAAATTCAAGATATACAGCTATCAATTTATTGCGAAGTTGAGAAGTCTATACTCATTAAAACTTCAGTGAAAGAAAAGGAAAGCAGGAAGAAAAACAGGCTGAAAATGAATGCTTTATTTTTCATAAAGTGAAGTCCCAAATTTGAAATAGGAAAATCAGATTAGAGACTGATCCCCAAAGATATTTCAACATGAAAATCTGACCAGAAGGAATGAATCAGCAGCAAGGCAGAACAGATCCAGAAACTACAGCACAAATCGACATTTTCAGTAGTTCTCTTGTCTTTGTTGATTGGACATAGAGTTAATGCAGGAGATCGACTGGTCAGGACATTACTGGGATGGACAATAGCATTATGACTTTTGCAAACTAGGTACTGTTTATAGTGCTGGGAACACCTTAAAAGGAAAAAAAGTGGACTGATAATTGTGAAAAAGGCTGTAATTCAGAAGAGGCATTTTAATAGTAAGAGCGTATGGATGGCAGCAAACTACATATGAAAACTGGGGGCACTTTGGTCTGTTAAGGTAAAATACAGTTTTAATACTAGAGTGCTGTTGCTAATTCTCGCCGGGTTTGAGATTATTGTGATGTGTGTGATTTGAACAATTTATGGAACACTTACCCAAACTCTCTCTGTAGATTACTAATTAAGTCATCACCAATTAAGATAATTAATGAAGGGCATTTATGTTTAATAAATGTCATACCTTAAGTCTAAAGGAACTCCTGAGACAGTTTTATCTGGGAGGAGTCAGTGAGAAAACTGTGTATCAGACTCTGTCATGTGAACTTGTAGATTGTACATTTGAAAGGAAGGATTTGAATAAGAAACACTTGTGCATGACAAAAATTTGGGAATATATGTCAAATGGCAATAAAAATTGCTGTGTAGTGTTTTATATATACCTCTATGACACATACAATGTAGAATAAAAATGTATGAAAAATAAAACAGAATTTTTTTATTTGCGGCATGTTACTTTGTTGCAATCATTCTTTTCTAACAAAGTTGCTTAAACTATTGAAGCTACTAGTCTCATAAAAACACACTCTTTTTCATAATGAAGTTTTAAATTTGAGGGTGTATCCATTTACCTCTGAATCATTCAGGTACAACTGGCTGGCCATTAAGCTTGAGTGTCTCATGGGAAAAATCTTTGTTCATGGCCTGTTTTTCCTACTACTGAAATAAATGAACAGATAAAAGCTCACTCAATGCTTGTTGCTCTAAATGCAAAATTCTGTGGAAACTAATTGGTTTTATACTTCACAGTTGCATTCTATGATAATAGGCAGGGCCTTAACTTAACGAGAGGAACAAATAGATTTTTAAGTATCCTGGAAGTTCATGGATACACCTTCTAATGTATAATTTCTGCACATTAATCTGCTATAATATTCTCTAACTTTTACTCTTAAAATACTTACAAATGTATAATCATATCCTACAAGTCACCTTAAAGATAGAAGGGATGATTCTGTGACTGTTGAATTTTATTCTGCAGGTTCCAGCAGGGATGGTACAATTAGTGAAGATACGATTCGAGCATCTCTTATTTCGGCAGTCAGTGATAAGTTGAGATGGCGAATGAAAGAAGAAATGGACCGTGCCCAGGCAGAGCTGAATGCCTTGAAGCGCACAGAAGAAGATCTGAAAAAGGGTCACCAAAAGCTTGAAGAGATGGTAACTCGCCTAGACCAGGAAGTGGTAAGCAAAATGAAGGACTAGATGGCCCCTTCTTTTCCCTTTTAAGCTAATCAACACTTGGGTGTGTCACTTTCTGCTTCTCTCTGAATAACAATGCAGGCAATTTTTGTTGCTCAGAGTGGCTGCAACTTCTCCTTTCCTTGTCCATTGTGCCTGCTGCTTCTGGCATGCAGTGGACAGCTGAGAGGCCTCCACTGTGTGGTGCGGAAAACAGTGCAATGGGTGGAGGGTGCTGTTAAGGTCTTGTTCTGCTTGTGGGCTTCCCACAGGCATCTGAGCAGGCACTGATAAATAGCATGCTAAAATAGGCCTGCCTGTAGAAAGATGGTAGGCCTTTGGTCTGATACTGAAATGTTCTTCTTACACTGTTTTCACACAGAAATGCTTTGAAAGGATTAAATATATAAAGACATTTAGTGGTATTTACATGAAATTTAGGATGCCGATTACGTGGATATAAAGTCATTTAAAAATAAATGTACCAACATGTGTTTTAGGCTGAAGTTGACAAGAACATTGATCTCCTGAAAAAAAAAGATGAGGAGCTGAGTTCTGCCTTGGAAAAAATGGAAAGTCAGTCAGAAAATAATGACATAGATGAAGTTATTATTCCCACAGCACCTCTTTACAAACAGATTTTGAACTTGTATGCTGAAGAAAATGCCATTGAAGATACCATCTTTTATCTGGGTGAAGCACTCAGACGTGGAGTTATAGATCTTGATATCTTTCTGAAGGTAGGTTTAGTTAAATATTAAATAAATATTTAGTTCTTTTAAATAAATATTAAAATAAATGCTCAGTAATCTGTATTTGGCATCGAACATGATTCTTATTGGTTTCTGTTGGAACCAATAATTGTCCAAGTTCTGAATGTTAATGCCTTTTGGAATCTGTTGTAGTGAAGATGAGAGAGGAAATACATGCAATGTCTGGTTTCCTTTTCCATGTCTCTCACATCATAATCAAAACTGTTGTAGAGCCTTTCACACATGACAACCAGAAAGCACAAGCCTGTGCTATGGTGAACATTGCTGAGCTTTCGCCTTTTGTTCTGCCCCCTCTCACCTCAATGTCTCTGTAATGTTCTGTCCACCTCCTGATTTCTGCTTTGAAAGCCCAAAGTACTCTCCCCTGGTTACCCACAACTCCCTGAAGCCACCTGCTCCAGTTCTACTTTCGAATACTTAGGGGCTGCATGGAACATATGTTTTGAGCATATCATTTCAAAGAGGTCTTCGTACACACGTACACTCTGCCAATTTTGTGAATAACTTACAACATTTAGCAAGATCTTTTCTTTGACTGAGCATCTGGTCAGGGCCAAGGCATTTAGCGACTCATAGAACAATCCCAGATGGTGATGGCTTGATTCTTAGTGGCTCCTGTTAAGCTCTGTGGAACAAAGTGAAAGCCATGTGGTCTGAGGCACAGTTGGCAGGGGTCAAAAAGCTGCGATCACCAGAGCAATTTCTCCAGGAGTCTCTGCGATGCACAGGTCTACCCTTTGCGCAGGTCCCATCCTTTACAAATGATTGTGCTATTAATTCTTCACATTTGCCTTCTACTTTTGGATACTTATTTCTTTATATATTACTTCTGATGAGCTGGATTCATTAAAAAAACAGTCAGTCAGAGGGCAAGCAAATGAACACAAATTTGGCCATTTAACAATGCATGTTGGTCTCTACTTCAGTAAACTAATGAATTTCAGACATTAGTTGATTGTTGGTTGGTAGTAATTGGATGTTTGAAAATATGGTAAGCTTGTCATAAAAATGACCAACATTTATTTTTCCAGTTTTACACTATGAGTATGCGCCCACCACCCTCTCGTTCCACAGCTAATGGCTTTGTGGGCTTTAGCTATTTAATGAGGAACTGATATTGCACATACTTTACCAGAGCCTTAAAATGTCACTGTGCAAGTTGCCAACTTAAACCCACTTTGCTTTGTATAAGTGTACTTGCTGCAATTGTATTCTTTTACTTTGCAAGAATCTGGACCTGATGCGCTAGGCAGTCATTTCAGTAAAGGAATTCTTCTTTCCAAGTGGTTTGGATCAAGGAAAAGTATGCAGTTTCTGTGTTATCATGCAGTTGATTTACTCTGGCCGTTTTCTCTCTTCTTAGCATGTCCGTCTCTTGTCTCGCAAGCAGTTTCAACTGAGGGCACTTATGCAGAAAGCAAGAAAGACTGCTGGTCTCAGTGACCTCTACTGACCCATGGTGCAAGGAGTGGTGCACACAGAAGTCGTATTCTGTTTTCTTTTTAATCCGTATGTGGCCAGAATAAGTTATTGCATCATTCAATTGTAAGAGACTTTGAATGGATAATATATTTTCTTTTTCATCTTTTTTGTAAGGACTAGCTTTTTATTAATGCACTTTCTATTCTCTGTAAACCTTTTGCATTGGTGAGTTGATGGCTGGGCTGAATAAAATGTGTTGCATAACATTTTTTCCTGTGCTCCAGACGTTTGTGCAGTGAATACGTCTGTGCTTTAATTTAACGTGTGGGATGCAGTTGGTAATATTTTCACTGTGTAGTGTGATTTACAATAAAAACAATACAAGTTATTAGACGGTGGGATAAGTGTGTCCTGTTATTTAAACATCAGTTTTATAGTCTAATCCCATGTGAATTTAGAGACATAAGTATGTCTAGAATTGCTCTTGAGTCAGCACCACTGGTACTAGGAATTTCTGTTCCTTCTCCCCCCCCCCCACCCAGCTCCAAAATTAAGTAAATGATGAGACACTGTCCTTAGAAGATTTAATATCAACATAAATTTGCTGTTGCAAGCTGTGGTAGTCATCTTTGCTTTAGGTGGTTTTTTAAAAGAAATTAAAATGAGGCGAACTAATGGAGGATGGGGCTACCCAAAGGCTGTGTTGCTGGGGCATTGTAGTGGGACTTATCCTCCTTGCAGGCTTCCTGATGGCACAGCTTGACCACTGAAGAGAGCAGGATGTTGGACTCCAGAGACCTTTGGTTTGCTGCAGCAGGGCTGTCCCCAGATTAGGACAGCTCTTGTGGCCATGAAGCCTGCATTTTCAGCCCAGTCTCAAAATAGAGATTATAGACTGAACTCCCTGCTCAGTGCTGCAAGTTTCAGATTACACTGAGGATTCCAGCATGAAGCAGCAATGGCTGATCATTATGTCTGAAAGCAAAGGCTGCACAAATATGACAAGTGTTGCTTTTTATGAAATGTCACAGCTGTTTTAGGGTAGAAAGAAACAGATTGTTATACTGTCTACCTCTTGGAAGGGATTTTTGAAAGCATTGAGAGAAAAGGGCCCAGTACCAACCACGATTATATGGTATCTTGCAGATAAAGTGAAGTGGACAAGTGAATTGATACCTATATCCTTTCCAGTAAAGTTTAGACATAAATTTCCACTGTGAGCAGCAGTACTCTCCCCTTCTGCAGGGGATTAAAACTGGTTTTCAGTCTAATAACACTACTCAATGAGTTGTATCACACTGTGTAACACTATGCCAGACATAAAGACAGAAGTAGCAGTTCATTCTTTATTTTGTTGGTTGGGCTGGTACTACAGTTCGACAATTGCATCAGTTGTTGTTTACAAAGGTTTTTAACTTTACACTTAGGACTACTATTCCAGCAAAGCACAGGAGGTTCTCTTGAACAGTATGCACAAGACTTGAAAAGCAGCAGTGTCAGGAAAGATACATTAGAGCTGCTCATTTGTGGGGACTAAGTCATCTCTTAAACATTGGTCAGTGTATTTGTCAATCCTCCTTGATCACAAAACTTTCTTTGTATCTTTCCTGCAGTTTTTGGAAGACTAATTGAGTTATCTTTTCAAGTGGCATATTTACCTGAGGAAAAGAAAGAGGATTTCATTTGGCAGTGCTAGGTTGGAACGTGCTGGATCTACTTAATACCAGTTAACAAGACTAGGGTACAATCCAGTTCTGACCACAGATCAAAGACATGATAGACAGATTACATGCCCCGCTTGTTTCCTACTGAATAAGAAACAGCATTTTGTGTGTAGTTTTAGTTTTGCATGTCTTTCTAGTTGATAGACATCATAACAGAGTTGACCTATTTGAAAAGTGCAATAAAACAATGGACTAAGACCCATTAAACACTAGGAAGCAGTGAAGTGATAGGAGAGCAAACTTAAAATTGAAGCTCCTTCTGGATTCCCCAGAGAGTGTCTGCACTTTTCCTCAATTTTTCTTCCTCTTCACTCTTCAGAGTCATCTTTACCACATCTGTAATGCCCGAGTAGCCGAGGACACAAGGAACACTTAGGAAGACATCATCTTTCACTCCATGCATGCCCTGACAAAAGAGAATATTTTTTGAGTGAGTGAAACAGCATGTCTATTTATGTGCAGAAACATATTCTCATTAATAGGGAGATAAAAGCCACCCCCTTTGGAAATGGAAAGCATCTTTGGTATGCAAAGCATCTGGGTGGAACAGGTTTGCCAAATACTGCCTTCCAGTCAACAAAAACAGCGTATGCCTATTACAGGCAAACATCATGATTTCTCCAACTGTCTTCCTTGAAATGGTCCAAATTGCCACTGCTTCTGCCATTACTTTGGCTATTCAACCAACAAAATTAATCTCAGAACTTTTGTTATTAAGAACATGTTTTAAAAATAATTTAGACTGCCTTATAGTCTGGGTTTGTATCTTTGAAGACGTGTATCAACAATGTTAATGTGCTGGAAAAATTTGTTCCAACGTAAGAATTAGTAAAGGAGAGAGACGTTAATGCTAAAGATTTCTTTTAAAGCCCAACTACCTATGTTTTATTGAAAAATCAGTGAGGCTGGAGCAACTATAAGCAACCTTGGGCATTGTAACTCATAAGGCTGCATTACCTTCACCATTGTAGAAATTGGATGCACTCTCCTTAAATTCTTCATGATGGTTTCAGCTAGATCAGCCACAGAGAGACCAATTGCCCAGGATGTGTATCCCTTCAGCTTAATAACCTCATAAGCACTGCAGAGGAAGATATTAAAAAGTGAGATCGGTCAGCAAAAGCCCTGGTAATATTTCTGGTCAAGTTTTAAGGAAGTCATTATCTTTAAGCAACAACATTAACTGCCTGTCCTGTGCTTCAGTTGAGCTGCAATGGTGTTTCAGTTTTTTTAAAAATGAAACAAGTTAATTGTTTTCCGGCTGTAGAGATGCTACTGTGTAAAGGAAAGTAAATAGAGTTGCACTAGCAGAAAACCATTGCTTGTATAACAGTCAATAACTTCTAATGCAACAGGTTTCCCAGGTGAGCAGGAAAAGTGATATTCAAATGTTGGTTTCTGCTAGTTCAGCCTAAGTAATGCTAATGGCTAGACACCATGAACCTGCTCTACATTTCGGCAAAACATCAGTCATTTTGCTGACAGAAACAGTTCTGTGTCCCAGCACAACCTCAGAATATGCCCCAGAGGGCTAGGGAAGTCAGTCTGATACTGGATTTTGTGTTTTAGTCCTGGTTCTTTCAAACACTGAAATAGGTTTTTAAAAAGTTACCTGTCTACCACATCTTTGTGGACCTGTTTCCAATTCTCCTTGTCTGCATCAGTTCCTATTTCAGGATGTAAAGCTTTCAGGGACACACCAGCAACGTTCACACCACTCCAGACAGGTACTGAAAAACATTAACAACATTTTCAGTACAATTTATCATATCCCTCAGACTACAGCCTCAAAGAGCCAGTGTGGTGCAGTGGTTAAGAGCATGTGACTGGGACTCAGATGACCTGGGTTCCATTCCCCGCTCCACCATGGAGCCAACTGGGTGACTTCGGGCCAGTCACACTCTCAGCCCAACCTACCTCACAGAGTTGTTGTTGTGGGGATAAGATGGAGGAGATGTAAGCTGCCTTGAGCCCTTTGTAGGAAAAGGGCAGGATATAAATCCAAAAATAAATATAAATAAATAAAGCATTCTCAGATTTTACCTCTACAATTTATAACATTTCACTGGGTCTATTCTAAGTAGGTGTAATATTTGGTATAACACAACCTCACTGAGAGATGTTTCTAGTGAGAATGGCTTGGGGAAAGAATGGCTTGTTATCTGCGCCATGATACATCCTGGTATATTAAATGCTTTGATAAGTAAGAGCCTAAAAAAAAATCAAGAAATTTGGACTTGATTTAGCTTTTATTTATTTGGTCCTCTACCATTTAAAAAATGCCGGCAAGGAAGTGTCAGGTGTCTTCTGGAGCACATTCACATCACTGCATCTTGTGTTACAGACAGTTTACTAGCTGATCTGTGCAAGACCTGACTTAGCCCTTTAACTTCTAAATACAAGATGTTAAAGGCGCATGTTTGATGCCTTATCAGCTAATGCAGTGGGATAAAATTCCAACAAACAAATGTCTTTAAAGAACTCCAGCATTCCTCAAGGGTCTCTCAAATGAAAAGATTTATTCCTGCTGAAAGTGAAGGGTAGAATTCAGTCTGGTAGGCTTTGGCCTACTTGGATTACAAAGATGACCTTTTCAGAACAGAACCATCCCAAGTCAAATATAGATCATCTAGTGTTACCTTCTTGCAGCAAGGAAGGGTAAAACTTTATACTGAGAGGAGCAGGGAATTTTTTTGCATGGACTGTCAAGTGCACACAGACCAAGTTCAACAGATGGGTTTGTTCCTATGAGATGGCCAGTCTTCTCTTACTTTGCTATCACCAGTTCTCCATTTCTTTTAGCTGGCCAGTGTAAATCCTGTACTTGTATTTTCCGAATCCCTTCCCCACCACCTAAGAATATAGAATAGGCTAGGAATTAATGTGTTATTTGGTAGCAAATAGATTATGCATCAAAGGTTTCCAGAGTCTTGGCAAAGGCCAAATGATAATTTGGCCTACTGCAGCCTTCTATAACCTTGTGCCCAGCAGATGTGTTAAGTTACAACATCCACTGGTCATGCTGGCTGGAGACTGTGGGAGTCCAGCTTGTTCAGCAAACGGGAGGGCGCTGCTACATTAATTACGCATTGAAGAGCCATGGATGCTTAACTAATATGTTCACCAGCTGATGGAAAATGGGCTTCATATAAGGAGGAAAGACCCATGCTTACCGCTGGAGTCTCCATGCTCTCCAACAATCCAGCCATGGCAGCTGAGAGGGTGGATACCCAACCTATCAGCCATAAGGTGGCGGAAACGCGCAGAGTCCAGGTTGCAGCCACTTCCGATAACCCGGTGCTTAGGAAATCCACTGATCTTCCATGCCACATACGTCAGAATATCCACTGACAATAGGAAAGACTACTTGGTTAGAAATGACTGTCATATTAAGGACGCAGAAAGGATGTTTACACAGAACAGTGACAAATGATGGGTTAACTCTAGACCATTTTACCCCTAAACAGCTTAGATTGTCTGTGTTAGGCATCAACAGTCTATGAACAGGGCATTGAAAGAGTTTACAGTAACCAGAAGGCTTCTGTGCTCCACGCATCCCTACAAATCATGAGTGCCCCATAAGCAAGGTCATCCATTGTGACATCTGGCTTCCTACTGGGAATCAACCATTTGTGTCCATATGGGCAAAGAATCACAACATCTTGAAGCCAAGCATGGCTGCCTATAATTCTGTTTCCAGTTCTGCACAAGTGGGGTGAGGAGTTTGGGTTGGCTAATTTTGTGGCCAATGTTCAGAGGCTTTTGATTCTATTTTTGATGAATGCAGCTTGCCCTTTCTTTGGAACCAGGCAAATGGATTAATTGTAACTATGCCTTACTTGAATCAAGCCAACTTCACAAAGTGGGTTAAAAGATATTGTTTCAACAGATCATAGTTTAACTACGGTTTGTCAGGCTCAGACAAAGCAAAGATTAATAAAAATGAAACAAAAGCTTCATATTCAAGGAATTAACTTCTGGTAGCCCATGTGCTTACAGGCAAAAGGGCACCCTCAACACTTATCTTGTGCATCCACACCTGTAGCAAGAGCCGAGTACCACAGATGATGCCATCACAGACCAAGTGGGGCTCTCCAGCTGCTGCCATTTTTTTCAATTAATGATCCTGGGGTGCACATGGGGCTCAAGGATATCCTAAGAAAAGAAGGCTAGCCCTGCCATGAAGCACGGTGAAGCTTCTCCTTGAGAACTGCTAATGACGACTTCTTCCTGACCATAGTTAAGCACTTGAGAGCCAACGTATCCTCCCTCCTCCTCCTCTTCTGTGGTGACACTCCATTTCTGGACTGCTCTATCACCAGAGATTCTTCAGGTGCCTGTTTTATTGAGCTTTCGATGCCTAGCCTTTCTTTTTTGGCACACACAGACCATCTATATTAATTGCACTGCTTTAAATATATTAATTTATGTCTTATTTTTGTTTATATATACTGTGGTTTTATACTGCCTTCTATTTTAATTGTATCATAGCTGCCCAGAGAGCATTATGATAATAGGTGGCTTTCAAACAAATCCAATAAATAAATTTACCTACTGCTCAAGAAATGTCAGCACTGACCGTAACTATGATTTAACACCAATCAGGGTTCTTACCAGCCTCTAGACCAGACTTTTGTAACCTGGTACTTAGTTTAAAAATATTCAGTGAGGACTGAACATGTTCACTGGAGACAGGAAGCTGAAAGATTGCTTGAAGGACACCCACCTCACCCAATAAACCAAGAAAAATGGAACAGCCCAGCTGAAATACTGAGCAAGGAGCTCTCCACACTACAACATTTTGTTACGGGTCCCACTTGTGTAATTATTAAGCAATGAATTCAGATCCAAGCCAACCTTTTATCATTTTCTGCATTTCTCCTAAGTATTATTGTGTTGAGAGTGAAGAACGGTCTCCCAAGAGGGAAGACAGGGGAACACACATAGCTATTCTCAAGGATGGTCTTTAGCATCTCTGGCAGGCTCTGGTGCCTGTGTCAGCCCTATCAGAGCTTGCAAATGTGGGTAGAAATTAATTCAGTGATTCGTAGGAAACTATGAATGTTCATGATCAATAGGAACAAAGGACTGGATCCTCCAAATCTGGTCAAACATTGAATAGACCCATGGAAATAATGTAATAGAAGTCCCATTCATTTCAAAAGGCATGCTTGAAATAAGGCTAAACTCGGATCCAAACCAAAGGTTTCATAGTTAAGGGGCAACCTGGAATTTCTTTAGAAATTTCCTGGTTTCTTTCATTAGAAAATGGAGGAACAGGAGGACAAATGACATTCCAAAAACAGTCAGAACAGGCTAGACCAACCTGGATTGGAAACAACCAGCAGCTTGCAGTCAGGGCTGTGCTTGACAACATTGGGAATGATGAATTTGAAGATGTTCACATTGCGCTGAACCAAATTAAGGCGAGATTCACCTTCCTGCTGGCGAGCTCCAGCGGTGATGATAACCAGCTTAGAGTTTGCAGTTACAGCATAGTCTGCCAAAAAGAGAAAAGACAGTCAGTCAAACCACATTCAGCAATGCACAAACAGAATGCGCACAACATCATGAGAAATGAGGAAGGCAGAAATCACAAGCGTGAAAACTTGGTTACCATTGTGCCAAGGGGCGGGCAAACAGGTGTGAACTGTGTAGAGACAATGTGCCTCCTAGAAAATACTGAGTAATGTTGATTTCACACTCTTCCAGAAACTGACCATATGCTTCCAAGCGCTGATTGCTATCATCAAGAGAAAGGGTGAAGAACACGCATCATGTCAGATGTTGGTGTACTCCAGCTCCCATCAGCCCCTGTCAGCATAGCTAATGTTGGGAGGTGCTAGAAATAACAGTCCAGTAACATTAGAAGGGCTACATCTTTGCCATCCTTCATCAGTAGGGACTGGGAATTGGTTTCAAAAACACTGTCTAAATGTTGCCATGGTTCCATATGCAAATACTGGAGTAGCTACTACAACTGCAGACATACACATACTCCAAACCATACTTCTTGTGCATGTTTACAAAATTAGGTGTTACTATCAGAAAAACTTCCTCTGGAATTTTTCTTTTAACAGCATAAACAGAAACAAAACAAACCCAGATGGCTTTGTGCAAAGGCCAGGGTTCTTCTAGAGCTACAGTTTTCAATGGTCTTCCTAGGGAAAAAGAATGGAAGCACTGACCAAGGCGGTCAAAACTGGGCTCTTTGTTTCAATGGACATCTCATTAAGAAGGGAGAAAGTCATTAAATGCTCTTTTCATGTACTATCACAGCTGAACTGTTCACAAAGGCAGGACTGTGGTCAGGGAAGGAGAACTCCATCAACTGTGACAGCAATTATAGCAGAAGAAACAAAAATTTACATAGCAGCACAACTGTCCTTCAGTTGCATCTTCTTTTTAATTTGTGGGGATTTCATTCTTTGCAGACGACTTTTATTTTCAGGTCATCCCAGGGCCAGAAAAGCTGTTGCCATACGTGGCTGATGCCCCTTTCTTCATTTCCAACATTGGTAGAACAGTTTTTCTTGCCCACCCTTTTTAGAAAAGTTCCTTTCACATACTCTTAAAGTAATCTAGAAGTACTTTTTAAAGGAAAAGGAACTATTAACACATTTTCCCTGTCACTTGTCCCACGGGTGCCCTAAAGATCAGTTGAGGATGCTTTCCTACCCATTACCAGTCAAACACCACACTAGAAAACTTTCTTACAATACCTTAGCTGCACTGCCAACACTTTCGCATTTGAGACTTGGACAATGAGCCAGGGAAAGAGAAAGACTAAGTGAGCATGTCCGTTCAGCCAACAGAACATAACAACAATGACTAAATCCAGTGAAATACCTATTGCTACACTGCTGTAAATACAGAGCACAATCGTGGGGAAGTTTAGAAAGAAAGGTCTCCACCTCCTCGCATACCCCAGCCAGTTGTGCTTAACCAGATGTAAAAGCAAACCCACTGAAATCAATTTGAACCCTACTGATTTCAGTGGGCCTGCTCAAATTATGACTGCACAAGCAGGTTCAGACACAACAAAGCACAGTAGCTTTTAGCTGTGATATTCCGACATGGTATATTTGGCTTTTAGAAACCACAATAAGAAACAACATTCCTGCTATGCAGCATGGGATTAACGTTCAGGTGAGGTGGCTGATGCGATACATGCCAATGTTGTAAGCCGCCCCGAGGCTTCGGCGAATGGGGCGGCATAAAAATGTTTTAATAAATAAATAAATAAACAGTGAGGACAACTAAGGGAGGAGGGTGGAAACCATGCCAGCACAAAACCCACTTAGGCCCACCCACGCAAAAACCTGTGTAGCAGGGAAACCATGCAGGCTTGCTTCTTGTGCCATGAGACACTCCGGCTGGGTTCACAATCCCATTTACCAATTTTGCTAGAGTTGTACAATGGGTTTACTAGCCATGAATCTGATTTTCACTATTACAGCCAATCAACCTGTTTCTGCTTTTTAAAACAGGGCAACTTATAGCACATAAACAGTAACTGTTTGTTGTAAACTGCCTGGAGAGCTTCAGCTACAGGCAGTATAGAAATGAAATTTATTAATAATATAGTAGTAACTGCATCACCAACTCCCTAATGTTTTCAGGATAGATCTGATGCTCAGCAGCTTGTTAAGCTTTCAGTTCATCACTAACACACTGAAGCTCAAAGGACACACAAGGCCAAGCACCACCATGTTCAGTAATGGCTAAGCAAGAATGGAATAATCTCAGCTTCCACAGACAGAGGCCATTCCGTGAAATCTGAATGTTACCCTATTACTAGAATTATAGTGTCTGAAATAAATGATCATCTGTACAGCATAGAGCAAGGACAGTGGGTGTAGATCTTTGGTTAATTTGCAGCAGATCAGGGTTTCAGACACCCAACTGAAAACAGAAGCCACGACCTGGCCCTAAATTATGATGCCAAAATAGAGGTGTGCAGAAAAGGACTGTGAGCTCCATTCAGTTCTGCTTCTCAAAGAGAATTCCTGGTTTCAAAATTCTTCAACTTGAAGTGCAAGTCATTTGCACCAGGCACTGCTTGGTAGATCTCCTCAAGTAGATTTCCCAAGGCTACAATCTGAGACTCCTGACATAAAGCGAGAGTACTTCCCGCTTGGATTACTGTAACGCGCTCTATGTGGGGCTGCCCTTGAAGACGATCTGGATACTTCAGATGATGCAAAACAGAGCTGCCATGATACTGTCGGGGACTGGTTGTTATTCTCACATAACTCCAGTCCTCTATCAGCTCCATTGGCTTCCCATCCAAGTTTGGGCTCAGTTCAAGGTGGTGGTTATTACCTATAAAGCCCTAAATGACCAGGATACCTAAAGGAACACTTTTTCCCCCTATATGTCCTTCCGCCCCCTAAGATCGGCATCAGAGGCCCTCCTCCGGGAACCCTCTTTGAAAGAGGTCAGGAGACAAGAGCACTCGGAGAAGAGCTTTCTCTGTGGTGGCGCCCTGACTATGGAATGAGCTCCCTAGAGAGGTCAGCCTGGCAACGTCATTATATGCTTTTCAGCGCCAGGTCAAGACCTTTTATTTGATCAATATTTTAACATCAACCAATTTTAATTGTATATGATTTATTTAATTTATTTCAAATATGTCAGTTTTATGCTCAGTTCGTGGAATAGCTAATTTATTTTATTTAGGATTTAGAATAATGCCGTAAGCCATCCAGAGGCAACAGTGATGGATGGCCTATAAATTTCCTAAATAAACAAACAAACCTTTGCCGGAGACGATCTTTGGTGTCCGAAGAAAAAGGCTGCCATGCTGAAGGTCCAGCATCTCTCCCTTCAGCTTGTCCTCCACAACATCAACCAGGGCAAGTTCATCCGCCAATTCCTAGAACAGACCAAGAGTAAACAGAAAGCATCAAGCCACTGACTTTGACCGACCTGACTCCAGCATAGGCCTGCACACGCTGGCATCTTCCTAACCAAAGACTGGCCGTCACCCTTGTACCGTGACCTACTTAGAACCAAATGTTTATTTATGTATTTGTGATTTCATTTCATGTTCTGAACCATCCTGTAGCCAAAGCCCACGGGGCTCTTGGCAAGCCTACAGCCCCAGGAAGGCAGCAAAGCTAGGATCACAGAGCCACTGATAAGCTGGCGAGTATGGCCGACAGATTGTATTTGGCATGAGTCGGAGTGGAGCTACAAAAGTGCTTCACCCCCTGGAGTGACCTCACAGTAATGCAGGAGCCTCTAGCTGTGCCCTTCATACCTGATCTAGGCATACATAGTTGCCCATGAACGAAACTGCGGCTGCATACTAAACTTTGTAGGTTAGATCTGATGCTGTATGTCTATATAACTGCACGTTCCAACTGCGATCCCTCCTTGCTCTCCTCCCCTTTGCAGGCCCTGCAAACCTGCTGCACAGCACGCCCTTGGCTCTTCAGAGTAGACTTGCAGGCACTTGGGACCCCAGTGGGAAGGGGAAATCTACTCAGCCAGCAGTACTGGTGGACAGCCGAGCAGCAGATCCAACCCTCAGATGTTCACTCCAGAAGCAAGCATTCCTCTTTGTAATTATACTCTGATCACAGTTGCCCTTCCTAAAATCTAGTTAAGATCACAGTATTTTTGCATTGGTTAAATACGAGGATCAGGATGAGGTACCGTGGCCAGGGAGGGGCTGCAGCTCAGTGGCAGAGCACACATTTCGCATGCAGGTCCCCAGTTCAACCCCTCGTTTCTGCACGTGGGGCTTAGAAAGGGTCCTGCCTGGAACAATGTAGACCCAGTGCCAGTCAGTGTCTGGGTTCATATGACATGCTAAGCCATGAGGGAGTGGCTTCCCATGTTACGAGAAACCCCCCTGCTTCCCTTGGGGTGGTTCATAAGTCACCCTTGGCTGGCTTATAAACCCTTCCAAGTAGCCATAGCTTGACTGAGGGTTTAGGAAGCCCTGTGACTGAGCACACTGCCTGAACCTAGACTACACACTATGCCCTGATCGTGCCCAGAAGTATGAGAGCCCCTTGGCCAGAGCAGCAAAGAAGAGCTGCAGCCCAGCCCAAGGGATCCTGCTTGCCCTGGGCTGCCTCCTCCTTGAGGCCTGCATGAAGCCGGAGGCGGAAGCAGCTGGAAGAGGCTCATTCCGCTCAAGAGGAAGCAGCACAGGGGCCCCTTCCCTCTCCCCCAGGGGGTACAGCTGCCAGTGCCAGGCACGTGTGTGGCCTAAACAGGCAGGGCCTGGCACCACAGCTGGGCAGCGAGCAAGGATGGGCTGTCTTCCTGCTTCCCTCTGTGCTCCAGTGTGATGTCCTCTCAGATACCTGCTGGGGCAAAAAGGGACAGTGGTTCCTGCAGACACTCACTCTGCTGAACTGTCACAGGCAGGCACAGCTAGCTGGGCCCCCCGGCAACTGTGAGCCCCGGGCTTAAAGCGTCACGTGAACCTGCCCAGTTTCAGCAATGCTGGACTGGATGGACCAAGAGTCCATCTCTGTATAAGGCAGTTCTTACACTATGTGCCTGTGACGGCAATACTGACACCAAAATATGGGCAGCTCCAGATGGGCCTTGGTGCATTTGGGGGGAAAAAAACTTATGCCAGAGAAAGTACCAAGCTAGGAACAGTTGCTATGCACCATCTTGAAGACCATTATAGGGTACATTAATGTGGACACAAACCCATGTGTTGGAGGCAGAGTTGCAATCTATTTCGAAAGGGACTGCAACAGACATGAGGCATGGCAAGTTGGACTTGCAGAACGCATGGTGCAAAACCCACATACCTTCATCAAAATGCTTATGGCACAAGCCATGCCAACTGCACCAACTCCAACCACAGTGATCTTGTTGTGGGGGTGATGGTGTTCATCTTTGTGAACATTTTCAATCAGCTTTCCCTTAAGAGACATCTTGTAGTGCTGCTGAGAAAGGGAAAGATATCAGAAAAAGCCCCACATTTAATTTCCATCACTTCATGTATTTCTGACTACGGTATGTTAGAACAGACCATTTCTAGCTTGCATCCCATCACCCAGATATCACATATATGACCCACCACACACAATGTGCAATTTCTCAAAATCTGTATTTAGCTTGATTTTATAACATGTGGATTTTAGCAGATTCCTTTATGTTTTTGCAAGGACTGTGCTTCTAACAATTAAGAGGCACGTGAGAAAGGGCTGGGTAGGTAGAAGGTAAGTTGCCAGGTACTTTGCACTCCAGCTGCCTAATGAATTCGGTAGGAAACTAGTCTGGATTTTCTTACTGCTGAATGTTTAAAATTGCTTGTGTATATAGTGTTAGTGTAGACATTTTTATATAGTATTTTAAAGTTTTATTCTTTCTAAAGTCCCCAGAGAGCTTTCACTAAAGGGCAGTATAGAAATATAATAAATAAAAGCGAAAATATTCATTTTTCTCATCAAATTCAGTAGAATTTACATTCTGCAAATTTACTCTGGATCCAACTGCTACCTCCATACCTTCTGTATAGCCTGTAGTGACTGCTGCTGCCTTATCTTGGAAGCTAAGCAGCATTCAGCCTGGTTGATATCTGGATGGGTGACTTAATAATTTAAACCATCCAGAGAGCTTTGGCTTTGGGCTGTACAGAAATTTAATGAATAACAACATCTTCATATTATCTTATTAAACCAGGTCTGAAACACGGAAGGGGTTACAGATGGAAAACAGGTTTCCAGAAGGAGCAAAATGACATGTACAATCAATACCGTACCATATCTGACCAGTGGATCTGGCAAGAACAATATCAAGCAATGAAGCCTCTTATCAGTTTGATTAGTATGTATTCAGGCATAAAGTTCAAGTTGCAGCTGAGAAACTAAGAGGCACAGGTTTCTCCTCACAGGAGTGGCAAAAGCAATTCTTGCTCTGACACTGTGCATGTGTGCATCACAGAAGTCCAAGAGTTATAAAGCCAACCCTGCTCCAGGGTACAACCTGATACCATCTTGCTTGATATATGAACTCTATGCAACAGCAGCCCTGGATACTTATTAAGCCAGTGAGACCTTCCAGAGTCTTTGCATTCTATAAATGGAAGTCAATGGAGGGGCTTTTTAAAAATTAGGATATATCATAAAAAAAAAGGTCTACTAAATTTGAAGGCAAACAAGGGAGTATGAAGTATAAAAGCCAGCAATGAGAGACAAGATGCAGACTTAAGAGCAGGAACCGACCTCATTAATCATCTGCTTTTCAGGCAGATGATGCACATACTTATGGCAGTATTTGCTCCATGATTAAACACATTTTAGGAAAAAATCAGTGTACACATAGTGCCAGCTGCTGAAGCTGGCCATAGTGGCAGCAGCCAAAGGAACAAGAATTGGACTGAAAACTAGCTGGGTGAAAGAGGAAAATCTCCAGGATGCCAAAGGCACACCCAGGGTGGATGCAGGATGTCATTCTGAGTCAGAAGCTGGGGCTAGCCAGAAGCCAGGTGGTTAGCAGTGGCAGGGAACATAACAGTTTGGAAATCCAGTCTCAGGGGGAGTTGAGGTGCATGCCTGCCACTCCAAGGTCACAAGGGGCTCACGTGGAAGAGGACAGGATCGCAGATCAGTGGGCACCTTCCAACATTTAGGAAGTATTACTAGAATCCAGTGGGCTTTCAGGGATCAGAATGCTAGTTTGTCCAGACTGAAAGCCAGTGACAAAGAGATGCCATTCAAACCAAAACTGGAGGAAGCAAGCCCTGGGGGCAGAAGATCACCACCCCCAAACCTATGAAAGGAGGCGCATATGGCACAAGGAATCACGGAAGGTAGTGATGGGGGGTGGCAGGATGTGGTGGGGGGCAGAGCTTGAGGTAGGCGTCAAGGATACAGATGCTGGACCACTGAGAGCTGCTGGGGCGATGCATCCCATCTCCTTCAAGACGGTGTTCAAATGGTGGAAAGCCAGTGTGCTGCAGTGCTGGGCTGGGACTCAGGATCTCCAGGGTCTAGTTTCCACTCAGTCACAGAACTCACTGGATGACTTTGGGCCGGTGACTAACTCATGGACTGCTCAATTTCACAGGGATTCTCCGAAGGTTATACAGTGGAGAAGCAATACAAGCTGCCTTAAGGGTCCTTGCCAAAGGGGAGCGGGCATGATAGAAACCTTTTTACTCATACAACGGCCCAGCATGCCAAGATTGCAATCTCGCATCGAGACTGTCCATATGTCCAGCATTTCCCTACAGGGAGCAGTCCCTCAGCTGCAGCTTTGGAGAAGGAGGAGGTCCCCAGTCTCAGTGCAGCTGCAAATGTCTGCAGTCTTTCAGAAAGACAAAAAGGCGGAAGGTAGAAATCGCAGCAGTGTAGTGAACTGGGTATGGATACAGAGTACGCCACTGAGTATATTTTTCCTCAGATGCTGCTGTGAACTGGTACAAACAGAAACTTGGTGTCTTAATTGTGGCCAGGAGGGGGATGCCCCCTACTTTTTTTTACAAAATGTTTTTTTAAAGTACAGTTTTATCTTTTAAAAGCCTGAAAACTGGATCAACTGACCCTCAACCTCTTGGCTGGCTATGGGCCTAGACTAGACTTCTGTCATTGGATGCAGTTGCTGATTTGCTGGTTGAAGAATTTATGCATACAGTATTGACCCTACCACCCAATTGTGATTAGGATTTTGGAAGCGTCTGTGGCAGTGCATGAACTTTACAAAAATCTAATGAGTAAAACTTGTACTGAAGTGTGGCCACTTCGAATCCGACAGAACCCAGTTCCTCCTTGCTCCTTTTAGGACACACGTTCACCCAGGTGTAGTCAGCTACGTATTTTTAACAGAATGGCATAAATTAGAGAAGGAAGGACAGGGAACTACTTAGGAACATTTCCATATATCCCATGTTTTCAGAAAATCCTTCCTAATATGGAATTTGACTATTTAATTAAACATGACTCATGTTCTGTGTGCTAAAGGCTGCTTTTTATAAGCCCTACCAGCAGGAGTCTGCATTCGCAGCCAGTTCAAAGCTGGGCATGACTCAACATTAACCCCAAAAGTGCTTTATTACATGGAAAATCCATCACTGGATTAGCTATTGCACAGGATCAGGCAGCTTTGCCCTTTTGGAGATGCTGCATTTGCCACTCTGCTGCGAGTTGGAATACATCTGTTTGAGGAACTGTGCCTTGCAGAGGAAACCCCGTTTGCAAACCCATAACCAATAAAGGCGAGGCTGCAAAGAAGATGCCCCACTCTTACGTTGTGCAAGCCAGAATCTGTGGCAAGAGAGCTGTATTTCAGCAAAAGTTAAATTAATGCAAATGAGCCTGGGAAGCCCCACTGTAGCCTTCACCTGCATGAAGATTGCTGCAGATGGTGAAGTGGACTTGTGGAACTTGTCCTCAGATGTGTGGTGTAATAATCCAACTAGGAAAACTAGTTCAATTCATCCCTCAGGCATAAAACTCACTTTGTTGGGCTGGTCCCTCTCCCTTATTCAAGCCCGATTAGCTCTTCTTGCAAGCATCGGGGGGGGAGCCCTGGACTCTGCCCTGAGGGATTTACAACATGAGTGGGGAGTGATTTCAGCCCAAGGACACAGGAGCAGGCTGCCGGAGAAGGTGGGGGCATGTGAAACCGAGCCGGCTGTCCTCCCACCCTTTGCCTTCCCCGACAGGGCAAAGGCAACGGAGCAGCTTAGCTGCCCGCCTCGGGGCTCAAGGAGCACTCCTCGAGGCTGGCTCTACGGCAAGCTGTTCTCCCACACTCCCTTCCTGGGGCGGGCGCAGCTTCAGGGAGGGACCGGAGCCTCCAGTCTGCAGCTGGCAAGATGGCTTTAAAAAGCAACCCCCCCACGCAAAAAAAGGGGGGGGAGGAGGAAAAAGGGGCCAGTGTTACAGCTATGCAGTCTGCATTTGGTTGTGGCCTTAAGTAGCAGTGGGAGGAGGCTGCAGACCTTCCGTTAGGGTCTGCCAGGTAGCGCAATCTTTCTTCTGGTGCCCTCAACATCCCCCACTGCTGCAGGAAATTGCAGTCCAGCAGATCTGGAGGACGCTTTGGTTGAGGAAACTCTGAGGTTAAGAGTTCAACTTGCAACTAGGTTTTCACAAGCAGCCTTCAGGAAGAAGGCAGCAATTCTGCTTCCCCAGAAGAAGGGAAAGTGACGCCCAGAAACAGAGTAGCAACACTTTCTTAAAACTTCAGGGCTGCGCTTCAGAGGCGGCGGCGGCGGCGGCGGCATGCACAGTCGCATCAGGCTGCCATCGAGACCAATTCACTTTTCACTAAAGCACACGCGCACCTGAGCCCGCCTCCCCGCTCTGCACACCTCCCTCTTTCCGCCTTATTCCCTCAAGCTAAATGCAAAAGGGCTTTCCGGAAAGGGAAGATGGGAGGAGGCTGACGCCCGCTTTCTCAGCAGGAGGACCTTCCATGGCCGGGGCGTGCAAGCCAGCCGCTGACGCCTCCAAGGCCGGGCATGGCGTTGCTCCTGCTCTGGAAACGGAAGGAGCGGGCGAGTCGGAAGAGCGGCGATTCCGAAGTAGCCGGAGACTGCACCCTCCCCGCCACCGCTTTGGCTTTTCCTTCTCTTCCCAGCAACACGCTGGCCGAGCCCCGGCCGTTCCCGAAAGCCGCGTTTCCCGTCTCTTGTGCCCGGGGCGGACCAAAGCAAGCCCGCATCGCCTCTTGCCTCCCCATCCCGCCAGGCCACGAGCCCCGCTCTGAATCTCGGCACGTGTACGTCAGCGCACACCGAGGGTTCACAGGCTGCAGCAACACGCAGTCCGCTTGCCCTCCCTCCCAGCCTGTAGTTCATTCAACGTCCCAGGTTTCACGTCTACAGTGGGCGCTGGCTCTCCGCGCAAATGGAGCATCACTTTACTAAACCCTCGCTTCCCTCCATCTCGCACGTTACATAACCCACCCCTCTCGGGTCAAGGCAAATAGCAGCTCAGCCTCTCTTCAGCGCAAAACAATAGCACTGTAGCAGGCGCGGAGCAGCGGAGGCGGTTTGTGGTGATCGACTCCGAATCTAGCAATAGCCTGCCTCATCCTTCCCCAACCTGGTGCCCTGCAACTCCCATCCTCCCCAGGACACATGCTGCAGTCCAGCGTATCTGGAAAGCACCAGGTTGGGGAAGGCGCGTCTGCAGGATCCTGTCCCGTCATCTTTCACTGGCGCGCATGCACGCGCGCCGCACACAAAAGTTTATTATACCCCGTGGCAGCCTGAGTTGATTCGTTGCTTACAATTACTACTCAGAGTAAGATCAATACTGGATGCAAAGCACGGCGTTCCAGCTCGGAGCATCCCGTCGCAGCGGGAGCGCTTCTCCGAGGGCCGCCTCCAGCCGGCGCAGGCAAGGCGGGCAGCTCTGTGCGCCTCCCACCGCGCCCCCGGCTTACCTGGGTCGTCCTAGCAAAGCGCCCCACCAGCGAGCCGTCGCCCAATTGCCGCTGCAGTACCGCGAGGAGGTGGAGGGCGGCGGGCGCTTAAATGGAGGTCCCGCGAGTGACGTCAGGGGGCGGCTGCGGCGCGGGCCAGACGTGCCGGGGCGCACGTCTGGAGGAGGCCTGTCCGTGCTTGGGTGTGGGCTGGGCCGGGCCGGGAGCACGCGGGCGCGGAACGGCTGCTGCGTGCTCGCGTCGGCCCGCTGGCGGGCGGAGGCGGGAGAGCCCGGGAGGAGAGGCGAGAGGGCCGCGGGGAGCCTGGGCTTCGGGCGCGGGAAGGGGTGTGCTTCGGGCTGAGGAAGCACGGTGCAAAGGCATCGCGGCCTGGTAACACTGACCAGGGCCAAAGCGGGCATGACTGTACCTCGCCTCCCGCAGCTCCGTCTCCCCACACGCCCGCCATGCCGTTCTGGAGCTTAGCTTAGAGGTAAGGGTGCTTTGGAAGAAGCGGACTGGGTTACCTGCACCTACTCTGGAGGGAAAAAAATCGGGGAAGGGGAATTACTTACAAAAAATTAAGCGCGTTTAAAAAAAACCTGTTCCATGATGACATGCTTATTCTAAAGATTAAGCAGTGAATTGATGCTGCAAATAATAGTAGCGGATGCAAGTGCTTCTTTCCTTCTCTTGGGGCCTCAACTGGCTGGATGAGGCCCCTGGTGCTTCCTGGGGCAGAGTCTACGCTGCAGCCCCTTGTTTCGGAGGCACCCCAGTGCTGCTGCTACACTTTCCACATGGAGTTGCTGCTTTGTGGGCAGACCTTCATGCATGCAGGAGAATATGTGCTCTTGTTCTCATACAATCAAGTACTGCCTGCCAGTGAATAGTATGTAATTGGAGAAGTGGGAGCGCTTAAGTCCCATGAGGTAATTCATTTGTGTCTGTAGCACAAGCACCAAGTCGTAAGCCACCGTGAAGTGCTGCGCTGGCTGGAAAAGAGGCAGTTCATGTTGCTCTTCTAGTTAAAAAACAAAAAAACAACCCACTGGCAAACTCAGGTTTCCAAAGAAAGATTGTGCGATTATTCATACTTGCACAACTCTGTGGATGCATGTTGAAAAGTAGCCACTCTACCTCACATTATAATGGTTAATCGAGCACCCTGGTCATGGGAGGAGAAATGGAGGGCAACCCACAGATTTCCTGCAGGTCAGTCCCTAACTCCTTGAAGTCAAAGTGCAAAGTGAGGGGGAAAACAAGTTCTCCAACATTCAGGTCACTCTCACTGATAAGAGTTCTAAGGCCACTAGACTGGAATATACCTAACTCACTAGCACGCAGAAACAGCAATCACTGGAGGGGACATCATAGGAGTGGTGTAGAAGTACCAGAAGGCTAAGGGAGAAAGTGCTTTAGGACGGTGGGCTGGGCAGTGTGCCAGTGGGTGGGCTAAGCAGATGTTACTGCACCATGATAAAAGCAAGTATGGATTGGCCCCAGGCAGAACATGTAAGCAACCACCTCTTCCTTTCATTGTGTGTTGCAACACAGAAAGCTGATCGTGGAAGGGGTAGGCTCCATCTGAGTTCACCCTGAGTTGCCCGGCGAGGAGGATTCAACCCAGCAAGCCAAATTCTCCTCCCTCCTGCCTACCGTCCTCAGAGAGATCCCTGGCTGGTCTCATCTTTCTCTTGAGGGCTGGGCTCCTGCAACCTCTGTTGGCCCACTTGCCCTCTCTGAAAGATGACCCTGCTGGTGTGCCCACTGCGTGGCTCAGTGGGAAAGGGTGGGTTGGCTCAGTCGAACCACACAGATGGAGGAAGGGGCAAAAGAGGCAGTGGGTGATCCTGGGAGAAGCGGCCCCCAATTCGCTGTACTCACTACCAGTGACACAAGATGCCCCCACCCAGGCAGGAGGACGTTTTCCTGTTAACAACTGTTAACTCTGCTGCCTTGCCAGGCCTCAGCGGACAGTGCTCCTGCCAGCAAGGGGGAGCGGTCTGCCATCGCTCCCGTTCTGCCACCTGAGGTGGAGTGTCGTTTGGCTTCACGGGAGAACCAGCCAGCCATCTGGCTCGCCTGCAGTTGCTCTCCGAGCAGCGTGGACCTGCAGGTGCCAAATGGCTCCACCAAGAATGATTGCAGCAAGTCCATGAGCAGAGGACTCGCCGTCTGCTCTACATCACCCAGAGAGACTGCTGGCGAGTAGACAGTGGCAGCTCTGGTGCTTCCTGCTCGTGCCCACACCTGCCACGTGGGGGAACTCAGCAGAGGAACTGCTGCAGGGAGGCTTTGTAAGGGCCCTTCTCCACCTTCCCAGCTTCTGCTGCAAGGCAGGGAAAGAAAAGAGGGGTCACGATTTGCTGTCTGATCACCTCTCCTCAGCAGCACAAGCTGCTCATTGGCCGCTTGTCCTCAAGTATAAAAATGGCAACACCAAGCCCACTTTTTGGTTCTAAAAAAATCCTTAACATAACTGCAGGAGATTTTACTCCTGTGAACACTTACTTACAGTATATCATAGAAGTGAGTACACCCCTCACATTTTGTAAATATTTTATCTTTTCATGTGAAAACCCTGAAGAAATGACACTTTGCTACAATGTAAAGTAGTGAGTATACAGCTTGTATAACAGTAAATTTTCTGTGCCCTCAAAATAACTCAACACACAGCCATTAATGTCTAAACCGCTGGCAACAAAAATGAGTACACCCCTAAGTGAAACTGTCCAAATTGGGGATTATTAGCCATTTCCCCTCCCCGGTGTCATGTGACTCGTTAGTGTTACAAGGTCTCAGGTATGAATGGGGAGCAGGTGTGTTAAATTTGGTGTTATGGCTCTCACTCTCATACTGGTCACTGGTAGTTCAACATGGCACCTCATGGCAAAGAACTCTCTGAGGATCTAAAAAAAAGAATTGTTGCTCTACATAAAGATGGCCTAGGCTATAAGAAGATCGCCAAGACCCTGAAACTGAGCTGCAACACGGTGGCCAAGACCATACAGCAGTTTAACAGGACAGGTTCCACTCAGAACAGGCCTCGCCATGGTTGACCGAAGAAGTTGAGTGCACGTGTTCAGCGTCATATCCAGAGGCTGGCTTTGGGAAATAGACGTATGAGTGCTGCCAGCATTGCTGCAGAGGTTGAAGGGGTGGTGGGTCACCCTGTCAGTGCTCAGACCATACGCCGCACACTGCATCATATTGGTCTGCAGGGCTGTCGTCCCAGAAGGAAGCCTCTTCTAAAGATGATGCACAAGAAAGCCCGCAAACAGTTTGCTGAAGACAAGCAGACTAAGGACATGGATTAGTGGAACCATGTCCTGTGGTCTAATGAGACCAAGATAAACTTACTTGGTTCAGATGGTGTCGAGCATGTGTGGTGACAACCAGGTGAGGAGTACAAAGACAAGGGTGTCTTGCCTACAGTCAAGCATGGTGGTGGGAGTGTCATGGTCTGGGGCTGCATGAGTGCTGCCGGCACTGGGGAGCTACAGTTCATTGAGGGAACCATGAATGCCAACATGTACTGTGACATACTGAAGCAGAGCATGATCCCCCCCCCCTTCGGAGACTGGACCGCAGGGCAGTATTCCAACATGATAATGACCCCAAACACACCTCCAAGACGACCACTGCCTTGCTAAAGAAGCTGAGGGTAAAGGTGATGGACTGGCCAAGCATGTCTCCAGACCTAAACCCTATCGAGCATCTGTGGGGCATCCTGAAACAGAAGGTGGAGGAGTGCAAGGTCTCTAACATCCACCAGCTCCGTGATGCCGTCATGGAGGAGTGGAAGAGGACTCCAGTGGTAACCTGTGAAGCTCTGGTGAACTCCATGCCCAAGAGGGTTAAGGCAGTGCTGGAAAATAATGGTGGCCACACAAAATATTGACACTTTGGGCCTAATTTGGACAGTTTCACTTAGGCGTGTACTCACTTTTGTTGCCAGTGGTTTAGACATTAATGGCTGTGTGTGGAGTTATTCTGAGGGGACAGCAAATTTACACTGTTCTACAAGCTGTATACTCACTACATTGTAGCAAAGTGTCATTTCTTCAGGGTTGTCACATGAAAAGATAAAATATTTACTAAATGTGAGGGGTGTACTCACTTCTGTGATATACTGTATGTGTAATCTCTACTGAATACTAAGACTTAGATCTGAATAGGTTGCAACTTCAGGTCAAGGTAAATATATGTACTTTCTTATTCCAATTTTATGTAGCATGAAGTTAATTTTAGAAAACCTAAATGTGTGTGCATGTTTTCAATCTTATAATTAGTTTATCTTACATATATTTTTTTAAAAAATGGATTGTGGGGAAAAACTGATGTTATTAAATCAACAGGCATTAGTAAAACATATGTTACATATATTGTCTTCCAGAATTGATAAGTGAACGATTATGTATCCTCAAGAAGTAAGCTGTTGAATGAATAAACTGAAAGCTGTTGATGTTGCGATGCAAGTGGTGCTACGTCCAGGTGGAAATGTTTGCTACTTGGTGCTCCCCACAGCATGTTTGCTTGGAAGTTACCAATGCGTGCACTTTTGCTGATGCTGTTGTATTTTACTACAACTGATTCAATGTTTGTACTCCAAACTTTTTTCCTGAAACTGATTTTTTTAAAAAATGTAAAAGTAAGGTCTTTCCAGAGTAAGGTGATGCGTGGATGGATTACTGCCAATCCCTGAGTTACAAAAGCCCAAGTTACGAACAACCTGTACCTACAGATTCACTGCCAAAAAGCCTATTACTTTAAAGAAATTACTGCAGAAAAATGTCATCACCATAGAGAGGAAGTGAAAGGGGAGCGAAGGAGACCTCCAAAGCATGCCTTTCTGCAAGACCCATCCAGAGAGGGAATCCTCTTTGGCATTTCCTTGCTGCAAAGAGGAGGCACTGATGAGCTTGGGTGGGGAGCAGGGCAGAGATATTCATGGCTTTTCCACTTTCATGGGAGTCCTGCACCCCTAACCCCCCATGAATGTGGAGGGTCAAATCTACGTGATCCGACTTACATACACATTCGACTTAAAGACAAATTTCCATTTTCTCAGGAATGGAACTTGTTTGTAACCCGGGGACTGCCTGTAATTGATTGGACCAGTATCTTGCCTTTCACCAG